GAAAGACATCCGATAATATTTATGGACTATTCATATCGACCAAAATTCATCAACAGTCTAGTCACAAAAACAGACAAAACATTCATTAGACGTAGAAACAAAATTATCACATTTCTCAATAAGGATCAATTCGAGATTAAAATCGTGACCAAGCTGTGGATATTAGGTTTTGTTGAAAGAAAAGCTAAGTCCATACTACCATCCGTTTTATTGTTCTTCATGGCTTCATTATTATATTGTTACCGGTTATAAATATTGGAAATAATAAGGTTCCATATTAAATCCAAAATTCGGTGAACCTTGTATGTCCTTATATGTATTTAATATTAGTTCGAACAAATGACAAGTCATGTTCGATATGAGCTTAATAAATTACAGGGATACAGTAAGGTTTAGAAACAAATAGCAATCGGCTTAGTTCCATAACTTTTCAGGACCTTTGATATCATTCGTCAAAGCAAATAATACTTTGAATACATCGGTTACCTCTGGATTGAAAAATTTGATACATGATTCCAGCAAGTATGAAATCCCGACAGGCCTTAAAAGCATATTGCAGAACAACTTCAAATTCCAAGTAGCCCTAAGGCTTGACCCTTTGATAATGTGTATTTTCCATTCTTAACTAACGTTATAACTTCAAGGAAAGTAACTTGATTGAAATTTAAAAGTAGGTCAAGATACATGAGGGGTGATTATGATGGATTTTTTGTTGTTCTTGTAAATGATTCATGAGATGTCTAAAAGATTTTCAAATTCTTGGAAGTGAGCACCGTGTTTATAGGAAATGCATTTCTTTATTGTATTTGTATGATTGTAGTTATATTTTAGTGCGCATCACATGAGTTGGATAACATAATACGTATCCGAGCAAAAAATGAAAAGATATAGCCAATTCTTGTATAAGTTAAGAAAAGCTATTTGACTATAAAATGTATTCGTCGTGAGGTCTTCATATTTCGAATCGCCGAGGGCACAAGAAAAACTAAAAACAGGAAGGTATCTAAATAGTATACAGGATGACTGATAATGATCAGCATATTAATTACAATTTTAAAGTTCTAAGGTTATCGACATCTCTCAAACTCCTATTAAATACGGTCAATATCATATCCGAGAACTTCAGTTTTGTTTCAGATCACTAGCAACCATGGAATGGAAATGTAAGTGAAAAGCAAATCTTGATAACAGAAAGTGGCCATTTCGTGCCAGTCTTGTCTTTCGTAGATTGGGATATAATTGAACATTGATCTTTTTCAGAACGTCATTAGGCTTGAGGTTCGATATTTCATACGTCTACGTCCATTATTGAAGAATACCAATTTCTCTAGGTAAAGGTCGTCTATCTGATATTATTTACATTAGGCAATAAGATAGGAATCAATACAGCAGCTCAAGGCAGAAGATTTAATGAAAACAAATATAGCCAGTGATTACCTCTAGGTCTAGGAAGTAGAGAGAGAGGACTAGTTTGTTGATAATTTCTATTTTTAATAAATCTGCGTAAACAATTCTTTAATTCAGGGTAAAAACCTTAATGCTTTTTGATTCCAAAATCGGTGTTGCAAGACATATCAATTACTCGCGTGAATGCAAACATAGCTTTTCTTGTGTGATGATGGTAAGTATGGTGATATTACTTTTGAAAGTGAGATAAAATAGTCGCCTTGTTCTCTTTTGCTAGCAAGTAATAATTTTATTACATATTGCTCATCGAAAATTTTAAATAATGTCCAAATAGTGCTAAGTGGTGTCTCCAAATTAATGGTGTGTGAGTAATAATGCATTTTTTGAACAATTTGTATGGTTCACAGTTGTTGTATGACATGAAAAACTATCATATATTTAATATCTTTTGTGTTATATTTTTGTATATCTGTATAAGGAAAGGCTGGGTTGATCTACGATACAAAATTGAAAAAAAGATAACTTGTTCGCCGTTGCAAAAGGCTAGCCATGGTCTTGATAGGAATGGACATTAGGAATAGAGAAACCAGAAAACGTTAGTAATAATATACTTTTATCACTTTCAATATATAACCAGAATAACAAATAGATTCTCTTTTATACAGAATTATCTTGTCAAGTAGAACACTGAAATAGTTTCCGATTCCGTCATTATCAACATTAAATGGGAAATTTGTCTATATCATGTGACGTTATAGATCTTGCGTTACAATATTTATCACGTTACTAGTGCTGAAATGGCAGTGATAAAAGCACAATCTACGATCTAGTTTTTGTAATCTAGAAAACCAATCATATTCGATAACGTAATCAGAAATTAACGGAAATAAAATGTGTTTCGAATAAAATGCTTCCATTTGCAAGAAATTATTTCAATGACGTCCATTTCCTATCAGCGAGAGAAATGAAAAACATTCGATATAAAATTTATTTAATTTAATCCAAAAATATAAATCTCTTTATATGAATCTTCCTCGAGAAGCAGATTAAATACTTTCAAGTTACTGATTTTAAATTTTGTTAACCATGTAATCTGATTAGAAATTTGTCAAAATCGTATCGAAGCTTAAATTCCATAAAAACAGTTTTCAAATTAGTTTATCTAATTTTAAAGTATAGCCATCACAGATATATCTTATGTCCACAATATATGTATTTAAATCCATGATGTACAAAGAAATCAATATTCCGACCCTTTCAAGAGTCCAGCTAAAAAATCAACTTCACTGTAATAGGTTCTGTTGATTTGGAACGTTTTTTGAGCCTTGAAGCGAACAATAACTTCAGTCTGGTTAATAATCTGAAAAGGCCTAACAATGGCAGTAACGCTCTAGAGAACGTCCAAATCAGATAAACCAAATTAAAAACATTATTGGTTAGTACAGTTTTTCAGTTTGATTGATCTGTAAACAACTTCATGATGGTGATGACGTAGTAATCTTTGCCTTCTATTTACTCTAGAAAATTACCAATATGGCCTCGATAGAATAGAATTCAATGTTGTTTACAAACCTAGGATGGATGAAAGCCAAAATGCTAACATAATGGAAAAAGAGAAATTAATTTGTGCGAAGGATTATAGAACCTGCTTCGTTTCTTTAGTGTATTGTGTTGGTATTAACTAGAACTCTTCAAAACATACAGAATTTGAATAAAATATTGAGTATTTACAACACGTCTATCAAGTAGCTTAAACTGGGACAATTAATTTGATTTGAATTTGAATTTAAATGTCCTGCACAACCTGAAGGCTCATCTTTTGTATGTCACTATCTACGGATAGACTCACTGTTATGATAAAAGGTGAATAAAGTCAGCTGGTTGTTGCAGAATTATTTTGTGGAATGAAAAGGAATCATTTTCCGTGATACCATTCATCGACCAAATATCTAGTTGCCAAATTTCCTGTGATCAAATGACCTACAATCGTTACACTTTATTTACAGGACAATGTTATGTATCTTCATAATCGAGATTAATCGGATATTGAGTACTATTCGATTCAGTGACAAAAAGACGTCTCTTCGCGGATGAGAAATATCATGGCCTATAAGTTATGGTTCTAAATGCACGAAAGGGGGTTTTCATATCATGTTCTGTGTGTTTGTGGCTATCAGAAGTATAATTTTAAAACCAACAGTCATTGTAGCATGATTATTCATTAAATTATTGCTAAAATAATTCTCGTTACAAATACAGTAGACTAAGTTGCCAGGAATTAACAGGGGCGACATAATGATGTATCATCTGTTTGCAATAAAACTTGACAAGAAAGTGTAGGCTGTAGATCCTTAAGATCTGTTAAATCATCCAATCTTGATAGAGACAAATCTTTAAGGGAAATGAATGTAACTTCGTTTTGTAACAGATCCAAATCTTGTTAAGCAATACTCACTAAAGAACAAATATTGTGATAGGATCAAAGCACTGGACAAGGTCGCAAGAACAGAAATATGATTAGTCGATATATACTAATTATCGAGTATTAATTATTAGATATTAATTATACTCCGGAGGGTGTGTTAATAAGCGTTCTTCGGCAAGCTGTAATATCCATTTTAACAAACAAGAGACATAGGAATTGATAAACCAACACTTATTAGCGGGTTATTTTATTAAAAAATGACATTGTCTGGCAATTAAATACATTTTAACCGCAATGTGATCTCGTGTAAAGCTATACATAAAACAAAGAGAACCAAATTTCCTGCTGAATCCTACCAGTGGATTTCCTGCATTCAGAAAAATCCTACAAATTCTCTCTCTTCTTAATAGAGAAGATGCAATGTGGCTAAAAACTTGGCTTGTTTTAGTATATGAAAATTCGAAATATGATAGTTATGTCATAGAGTGGTATGTCCTTTTTAAAATAGAATAGTTAACATATGGAATATAAATATGTAAAGGTTTTTATTATAAAATAAGAGAATAAGCATTTTATCATTAAAGTTTTAATTTTTACCTTTCTACGGGTGCAATTGGACTCTACTTCACATAACTTCTGAAATGAAACCGGAGCAAGAACCTTGTCTCCTTTTCACTTATTAAACGGCTACAATTTGTATGTATATATTTTTGATATTCTCAGCACTGGACAAATTTGGTATTTATATATTGTAGTTGATTAATTGGGTTTATTATTTTAAATATGTTAAAAATAGCCTAAAGAAATTCATACAATTTTAAAGGTTAAGAAAAAACAATGCCATAAACGTGAAACGAACAATAAGAACATCAAAACATATTTTGAAATAACCATTTAAAAATGATTTCAACTTTATAGATACCAGTAGAATTGTTTCCGACACGTTTGATTCTCGTCATATTTCACGATACCCTACGTTCCTTTACAGAACTCTTACAAACGTCATGAGATATGTAAATAGCTTTATAAGAGATCATCAATTATCATTTTATAATGGACAAATTCTAATCACATCCGGCATGATCAGTTTTCTTGATAAAGTAATAATATCTGTACCACACAAACAACCAGACATTTAATAATTAGTTATGTTATATACGTTACTTACCGGTGAAACATAAGAGAATCCTGTTCTTTTGGCTATTTGTTTGGCCATGGCTGGTCCACCAGGATGGTCGAGTTCCACAAGCCATTGGTTTGTTAGTACTTCGACTGGTTCACCCACAGTCTGTTGTGATCCGAAAAAGGAAAATAGGACGACTACGGCTAAAATAGTTCTATATTTCCATATTATTAGATTAATCATCTCAATTTGAGAGATTAAACAAGTTGAAATTTATCTTGGTTCCTGAACACGTTTCAAATTCCTTATTTTTTATCTTCTTTTTTAGGTTACTTGCTTCAGTCCTTATTGAAAATATAACGAACCAAATCTATCCCAGAAGCCAACTGCTCATCAAATATTCCAACACTGTCCAAAGGTTCTATAGATTTATTTCATGTCAAACACTGATCATGTGACCATTGACGTCACTAGGAAATAGAAAAATCGATTCTGGTAATGGCAACAAGAATGACGGAGTACTGGAAGTCTCTTGTAGGTTAGCTAGCAGTAACAACGCTTGCCAATCAATAACAGTATCGAGAGAAATTGCCTGCTGCGTTATATAGTCAACCATTCCATTTAGTGGTCGAAAGCTTGAAGCTCTTTTAGAAAATACTTGAATGTTTGTGACACAGTTCTTGGTATGGTGGAAGGTGTTGATTAGAAGACAGTTGTACAAAAGAGAAATAAATCCATTTATTGACTAACAGTTGACCCATGCCTCGTTAGTTTACTTAATTTAATTAATCTATTGTCAACAGAAAACCTCTCCATATGGAAAGACCGTTCAAGGTGCATTAGGCGAGTGAATAACTTATCGATACGTTAAATTAAAGTAAGGTTTAGATGATTAAGAGCTAAGAAGAAGATTGATCAGAATTAACACATTTCAAACAAAGTTGTTAACCGATTATGACATTATTGGTTTCTGAGACTAAAATGAATTTTCACCGTGTAACCGAATTAGCAGTCTATTTTCATTAACAATATTTTAGTAAGAAAGTCTTCAAACTGTTAAGTAGAACTTATATGATATATTTCTCTGACATTAATTAGCTGCTGATTTTTCTGTTGATCACACATCATATAGCCTAACTCTGGACTATTGTAAAAAAAAAATACGACGAAAGAAATTCTTTCCAGCATAAAAATTTATGAATTTAAAAGTGTGATTCTGATTAAAATATTTCATTGAGTTCAGTCCAACTTTGACACATGTCGTCAAAAATTCTGATAACCTTAAGTGATACATAGTTTCATATCCAGTTCTTTTAAAAGAGGTATTTCGTGATTAAAATTAAATTTCATTTAATGTATGTTAAAAATGATGCAGTGTTGTCTCCCTTCATAGTGATCTAATAGTAAAAAACTTAATTCCGTTTCGGATTGAACATATCCTTGCAGCATCTTATGAGTTCACTTACATGACATGACATAAAATACAATATCTATAGTATCTTTTCGTTGTCTTATCTGTACTATTTTCTAAGCCAAATCTGTAAGCAAACTCCTGCATAATCCTTTTCCTTGAAACAGTTTCTGCTTGCGATCAATGAAGTGGGATAAATATTGAGGCTTCGCAGATCGTGACAAGTTAAATCCTCGAAATAGAATTGTCTGACTAAAATGGAACTGGATGACAGACAGAGAAGACCATTATTTCTATTTATGTCGAAGATTGCAGAAGGTTTCTTTTGGAAATAGATGGATATGAACATTTTTCAACTTTCAAAATACATTTTCACTACAAGATTCACGTGTGTCGAACAGATCTGGTTGCATTTGATGCATCAAGGTCAATAACCTTTGAATAAAGGTGTAGGATCTAGCAGTCTCGAGTATAAAAAATATTTAGGAAAACATTCTATCATATTAAAAAAAAATTCTCTCTCTTTTTTTTCTTTTTCTTCTATAGAAAACTCCATAGGGGCACCTCTTTTCTGCAGAATTATAAAAATCATGATCGGAAATTCGGAAACAAAACAAAGGACTATCTATACTTACTTAGGTAACCCATTTTTCTGAATCGACTTATTTTTATTTTCTTTGTATCTTTTTTTTTTATACCTTATGTTTAAATGTTTGGTAAACTGGACTTGTTAACTATAAGTCAAATGAATTGGATCATATATATGATATATTCACTCAGGGTTACTTTCGACATGTCGACGTTAATCAAAATGAGCTAGAACTGCAACTTTTGCTTACAATTAACTTTCGGTGAGTTTTTTTAAGAGCACTGACTAGAAAATTTCACGACAAAAAGATGTTAAAAACTAACCTGGAGTCATCTTTTTGACGATCTGCTCAAGTAATGGGAGATAATACAGCTATTTCACAATTTTCTTATTCTAGGATCAAAGAATTAAAGATGTTAAACGGGCTGCTTTATCTTAATAAAAAAAAGATATCTAAGCATTTGAGTATTGTTTAAATACTTGTTTGCTAAGCATACAATGGTGTAACCTATATATTCGTGCATAAAAGGATTCAACGCCGAATTTCGTGAAAATTAAAAAACGCTATTTTCTTTTTATGTCTTAGTTGTTTCCTTAGATATTCAAACAAATAATAAAAATTGTTTTGTTCGGTTTTATTTATGACTTTTCACTTCGACCCGTACTTCATGAGTAATCAACTCGACAACGGCTGCAAAATGCGTCTCCTATTTTCGTGTATAATGTTTGATCTATAAATAAGTCGAGATAAACCCGTTGTATGGATACCCAGTGGTATAATGAACTTCTAGTATTTATCTTAAATAATAATTCATTATAACTAATGACAATTCCTTCAAAGAACATTGATTTAAAAAAAAAAATAGTGACTCACAAAATAAGATAAGTAAAACGTAAGTGATTTATTGCTAAAAGTCATTGAAACTACATAAGAATTGTGTTCCACATAATTTTTCTGCCGACACGGGAATCCGCTAGTTTGTCACGTGACTTCGTTCACTGGAAATGTTCTAGCAGACGACACATGGAATTCCGATTACAGCTTGGGATTATAAAGGAAATTCGGCCGATAAAAAAATATGATATTTGGTAATAACCGAAATCCGCCATTTTGTATATGTTAGAAATAAATAATAGATTTGACGTGGCTATGAAACGAGAAAAAAAATTCTGCTAGTTGACATTGTAGGCTTACAGACAACTCATGTAAAATATAGCTATATGATCAAATCATTCTTTTTTTCTGGAATTTATATGTATATTTCAATCGATTTTAATGAAATTTTGAATGTGTATAGATACCTAAAATAACTAGTCCTATCAAGTTCGAATCTAAACGCTTTCAAGCTATTAACCCTTGTAATCCCGTTTATTAAAATGTGATTCAGACTCATTTTGGTAGCTATGAGATCAAATGAAGATTGCGACCAGTTCGAATTTTACTCCTATTCATCTTGAAAAGTGAAATGTGACAGTTCTTTAAGTTTTCAATCGATTATCATCGATTAAATGAGAAAACTGCAAGACGAAATGGGCGTTTCTGGACGTGATCCAATTTCATCTAGCAATTTTTGTTTTATGAATCTTTTATCGATGGTAAGGCATCTGTTAAATAGGCCAAGGTCTAAATTTCACAAACATCGCTCGGTGGCGTCCTATGATTACATACACCTTTATCTTTTTTAATGACTAGATTTCAAAATGAGGTCTATATGGCTTCTCTTACTTTATGAATAAAAAAAGATCTAAATATGAATAGGTCAGGTCAATATAAGAAATCAAAACCCACAATAATGATTAAAATTGGTTGAACATATCGCTCTGACAATCATCTATCAATAAACGTGTTCAATTGAGCGCAGAGTTTTGCGTTAAAGGGGGTCATTTTGAGATTTAGTCTATCCATCTAAATAAAGGGACATAATTCATAGAAAACAATCGGTACACTTCCCTCCTGCCCTCAATTATAAACTATATTTCATAGATCTGATGCCTTAAAAACTATGAAGTTTGAAATAAAAGAAGAGGTGCTATGACTAATCTATCTCTAGATTAGGTAAGTGTTCTTTATCATTATCAAGACAATTGTAACAAAAGTATACAAATTTGAAACACAAGATTCAAGCACGGTGAGTCTGAACTACCGACCTGAACAGCTGTTCCATCTGCAAAATGGTAAATTGAACATAAAATATTTATTACATTTATATTTCGCTCTAAAAAACCTAAAAGTTGAAAAGTTATGATAAAGTTGAACAATAAAAGATATGGTATATTACAAATTAAGTTTGTCATAAAGTGGATGTTGTGTAGGCTAGATGTAAAATTTCATCCTGAACTGAACTTAAGGATAATTGGGTTGGGTGATTTATGATGAATAGGCTACTCAATCCCTTCTTGAAATTTGAATTGCAAAGAGATAATAATTACAGAGTTCAAATTTCCTTATAATGGAAAATCTGTTTGACTGTTCGTACCTTAAGTGGCTTATTTTTGGTGGGTGCTAAAATCGCATTAGATGCATTCCCCGAGTTTCTAGATAAAAAAGTTTCTATGGCCAGTGATGGAAAAGGATATAGTACTAAGGGTTTTATAGTTTTAATACTTGACAGTTATCCATCTATCATTTAGAAAGCATATTTGCTCAGTTTACTGAGTATATCTCAAGTCTGGCAGTTGTAAATGTAGTAAACCATTTGTATTAGATCGTTTTCCAGAGACTGCCATAGTAAATTGAGGTTGTTTATTCCTAGACAAGTAGGGAATAAGTGTGTTGTATGTTATTAAATACATGTTATAATGTAATATACTACTAAACCACTATTATCTTTTGTTTTCTTCAAAATAAGTGCCCAAATGTATATAAATAGTTTCCCCTTAAATATTTTATGTTTATACATGTACCAGAGGGCAAAGGGGGAAACATATCAAAAGTAGCTTTAGAAAATCTGTTTGTGTGCAGTGGAAATTTTATTTGTATTTGTTGATATAGTGTATATAATTCTCTTTTCACTATGTATTTGGGAAAAGTGTGGATCATTTTTTTTTCTCTTCAATGCAGAAAATCCATTTTTATTAAGCTATTGAAAGTTTCCAGATATGAATAATTGAATATGTAGAATGACACAGCAAAATCTTAAACTTTCTGCTTGACTGATCCCAACTGTCCACTTTCTCTTTATTTTCAAATATTAATATTATTGGGCAATTAACTGAAATATGGGTCACACTACAGGTTTAGAAACAGATCTATAAAAATATTTTCCAAGTTAACAACATTGATTTATTATAGTTTGAGATACAGGCGATCAATTTATGATTGAGGGTTTGTATAATAGAACTCTTCATTGGTTCTTATTATATAGCTGTTCTTATATTTCATTGTCTAATTATTGGATATTGGAAGAAGTAGGCCTACTTATTTCAACTGTCTAGTTTTGTGTATTTTCTTGATTGGATATAATCTTATAGTAAATATAATGTAAGGTATAATTTATATGAAATTTAGTTTTATTCATCTGAATGTGGTCATATGTTATCAGTACTTCAAATTTTATTCCAGTTTTAATTCCTATCCTTAGGTCTCGTCTTGTTAAAGGGATTGTTTATGTTTTTTAAACTTTTTATGTGTATGACAGTTACTGATAGCATCCATTTGCACCATTCCAATTTTTAGTCTGATGTTTGTGGTTCCTGCAATTCTACTAAAACTAAGCATTTTATGACACCATAATCGCAAAAGCTACTATTGATATACTAGGACCTTTGCTAAAATATCTTGTTTTAATAGAATTACAAGAACAACCTTTAAAGGTTTCCCATAAGTTGCCTCTGAATCAATCTCATAAGAGCATAGATGTTGTAATGTTGTAAAGTGACAAAATACCTGTCAAATATTAAGTGATAGCTAAAAATGTAATTACTATGTGTGACATATATTAGGGTAGATTGTCTCATGAACATGATATACTTATACTTTTACATTACATAATTATATGATTCCTTTTAAAATATATTTTACTGACATGAGAGCTAGTGTTATTTCTCAATATCTTTATAAAATGTATTCAATAATGTTACTTTGTTCAGAGCTCTCTTCTCACACTAAGTGAGATAACTCACTATAACCTTAAAAATTTTTCATTTCTAAAAAAATAGTCCCCTAAATGTCATGAAAAAGAAAGTCTCTCAGCTGTCATTTGAATAATAATTAAAATTTCTATGGAATATGAAATTAAATTTCAAAAAAAAGTGTCACATGAACTGACCCTAAGTGAATATTCTATCAAATAATTACGTAAGCCATACCTAAGTGATGTCACATAATGTTAATGTCCTACAGTTCCAGGAATATACCGTTGAGATATTGACACATGACTTTCTGGTACTGTCTTCAAAAGGTAGCCTTAAAGTCGGAATGTAATATTCAGATTATTTACCATCTGGTGAAATATTGCAGATAGAAAATTACATTAAAATATATGGAAATTAGATAGGTAATAATCTTAGAAAATATTTAACTAGAGCTTGAGTCATGTTGTTTCTTCATCACTCTACAATTGTATTGAACACTAGTTTAACAGTGAAAATATTTTAGTATTGTAGGTAATAATCTAATTATGATTTAAAATGTGTTATTTAATATTAATTTTTATTCCAGGACAGATGTAAAGACCTATTGTAATGGTAACATGGATTACAAAATATTAAGTTCTCAGGTTTGTTTCTTACTTCTTATTATTTTAAAGGGGCAGTATGCAAACTTCTTACTGTTAAACACATTATAAATTATATATGAAAATATTTGTACACCAATATAAACCTTGAAATTGATTATGAATATATTGATTGAATAATATAGACCCCATTCATGCTTTGGCCAATGGCCATATTAAATCCACAACGAGGCTCATAGCGCAAACATCAAAAAGGTAATGTTTTGTCACTGCATAAAATCACCATCTTAATGTCTATAACGTTAAGTGCATTTTCCAGCTATGAGTTGTGTTTTTAGTGAAATTACACAGGCTTTAGCTTCCTATGAAGTCACCATCTTTGACATTTGCCGCAAACCTTATTAATTAAATTCCTATCCTATTGTTTGATATTACAGGGTCGATTTGATCAATATGGTAGAAAACATCATTTGAAGTCTCCCAATAGATTAATGTATATTGTAGTAGCTATTTTAATATTTGGTTTGTTATTAACTATACTCAATATCTATGAGTTACATCAAATGAAAGAAGCTCATATTAACCATTCCAATCAACTTTTTCCTATTGTTGAAGGTCAAACAGGAAAATCTGTTGACAAGCGGCCAGTTGTCTGGGTTGAGGGAAAACATGTAAGTATTTTGTATTTTTGATCTAATGCAATCTAATGTTGACCTCTTCCAGTTTGGAATATATACATGTTGCTCATTTAACACATTATATGGTAACAGAGTCCTCTCAATATTTGTTTTAATTCAATTATTAGTTAGTAATATCCAACTTCATTCAATACACCTGTTTACTTTATGACTATGACCATAATTATTCATTTGACCAAATGTTAATAATAACTGAGAATGGTAAAGAAAAGCTGAATTTAAGCTAGCTTAAAAATGTTAAAGGTCGTTTTTATAAAAAAAATTCATATGAGTGTAAAATAAAAAAAAAATGTATTTAGTAGGTATATGTTACCTTGCCTGACAAGCTATCTAAATGAGATTAAATGAATGGGGTTATACATCCTACTTTTCTACACCATGTGGGCTAATGAAGACAGGACAGGACAGCGGCGTTAATCTGCTCTTTTAATGATTCCCAGCTTTCGAGGGATCTTTAACATGCACAGTATAGCACACGAGGCCTCGGTTTATTGTCCCATCCAAACTATTAGACGCTTTTTGCATATCAGCCCCTCTTGCCTGCATCACTGACCGGTGGAAACCTGGTTGAAAAATCCGAAGGTATTATCTCGACCTATGCTAGGATTGAACCCTGAACCTTCTAACTTACTGATACTAAGACTATTGCATGCTCTAATTTATGTATCAGTGAGTCTTATGCCCGTACTAATATTATTTTGTATGATCTGTTTCAGCTGGAATCAGGTTATTTACAACATGTTTTTAACGTGTTTGAAAGATTAGGATATGTCAATGGCAGTCCTTTCTCTGATTGGGAAGTTTTATGGTCACATGATTATCCGTTTGTTTCTTTATCAAAGCATGTATCAGATCTTAAGCCATATCAAAAGGTAAATGTCTTTGCTTGCAGAGTATAGTTATTGACTGTTATTTCACAATAATCTTGGAAATAGCTTTCCATTCATCAAAACATTAAAATGGGAATAAATATATTTTCCAATTAAGAATAGAAATAGATTCATTGTTAGATGTTTTTTAGATGATGATTTGTGCAGATATCTTTCTTCAATAATTTGAAGATAATTTTTTTATTCATATAATTATGATTAGAAATATGTAATTTGAAAGTAACACTGAAAACTTTCATATTATAGACTTTTGTTTATTGTAGATTACTCGTGGTTGTTTTTTTAACTTAATACTAACTATGCTAATTTCACCTTATCTTGTATTGAACATTTATCTCTTTATTTGTGACCTTGGCCAGTGCCAACTTACATAGAAGTTTTTAGGAACTTCTTCACTCTTAACACTGATCAGCGTATAACTATTATCATTGAAAATATAGTATATAATTAATTAATGGAAGATAATGATTAACATTAACAGGTCAACCATTTTCCTGGATCAGGCTATATCACAAATAAAGCCAGTTTAGCTTCAACAAACATGCCTTTTATACCTAAAGCCTTTAAAATGCCTGAAGAAAAAAAGAAATTCCTAGAATATGTAAGTTCATTTAACCCAGACAAATCTTTTATTCAAAGTTAAAGATATTTAGGATGATAGTTGATAGAGCTTCATTTTTGCATAGCTCTGCTCAATCTAAATCATGTAGTTTACCTGCGATTAGATAAAACAATAATATTTTTTGACAACAAGAATGTTTCTATGATAATATTTGACTTTTATTACAAAACAATTCATCAAATATGACCTCAAGGTTTTTATATTAGTTATTTTTATATCTTTAAAAAGTGTCTATATCAATTCTTTTTTTTTACCGATGACAGGTCATCTTTCGGAATTAAAAAAATAAATATATAAGACATGGCTTTTGAAATATATATGTATATTGTCAGTATCCATCTAAGATTTATTAATGCTGTAAAATTGATGTCCTGTAAAATATATATATGATAATAAAACAATGGTTAGATTTGAATGCATTTTAAAATTTTAAGAAACAGTTGGAAAGGTTTGAATGTTCATTTCTTCAACATTTGTCCATTTATTAATTATTGCACCAGTTTCTTTAAATGAATTCAGATTTAATGTATTAATTCGTATAATATTCAATTAAAATATAGGATGTTTTATAAATTTTCAGGTAAATAATCATCAAGATACAATGTGGGTGAAGAAAGGCAATCATCATAGAGGTATTGAAATAAAAAGTGTTCAAGGTAATGATTTATCTCATTAATCAATTATAACAATATTCTCTCTGGCATACTTACCTTTTAAAAATATCTGATGCCAATGAACTTGTCAATTTGATTTAAAAAGTACCACTCTAAGATTACATCACAAATTTAATGGTAAAAGATCAATTTTAGAGAAAATTGTTTGGATAACAAAATAACCAATTTAAAACCAATAGTTTAAAGGGTCATGTAGGCCATTTTTTGACCTATCATATTTTAGTCTCAGAAACTGGAATTTTTCAGCTGAGCTAATCAGCAATAGCGTTCACAGCTCACCTTTACAGCTCGCCGTTGAGCCTTCAAATCCATTTCTGTCCAGAATTATCTCCATTTGAATGATAAAATGACGACTCGTCAATTTAAGATACTCTGATATATAGAAAAGATATATAGAGAAATAGTGGGTAAAATTCTTGGTTTGAAGTATTTTTAAAGGAATTATATGATTTGCATACATTTCTAGTACTTCTGCAGACTATCTAGTGTTTACATATATTCAAGACTAAAATCAACCCCACAAAATGGCCCACCTGTCCCTTTAATGTACATGTATCTTGACAATATTTAGATATTCTGGTGTTTATATTATTTCTTATGTAAATTTCAGAATTAGACCTAACACAAAAAGGAACATTTATACAAGAATATGTTGCCAAACCATATCTTATAGATGGAAAGTGAGTTTATAGTTTGTTTTTTATACCGTAGTGGTTGCTTATATCTAGATATATATTGAACTGGTGTTCATATTTACAAATCAAAAATGGCCAGGTGGAATAGCCATTATGAAAATGACCTGTCATCATCAATATTTATTATCTGTGTCCTAAATATACAGTTTAGTTGTTAAAAGGAAACACAATAAAAGTCTCAATTAAAACTTGCTCTTATACTGTGACTTTGATTTGGTCTCTGTCAGTCATTTAGCCACAAATATTTTCACAATTTATACATGATTATATTGTTATATTTCAGAAAGTTTGATATTGGTATATATACAATATTGACATCTATTAATCCATTAAGATTATATATTGTGAATGGTGAAGTACTTGTGAGGTTAGGATATTACAAAGTGTTCTCATCTCATTTATTTATACAGTTTGCTGATACTGCTCAATATATATATTGTGTATCTAATGGAAATCGTTCCAAAACATTTTATTACAATAATGTTTCTAGAAAGTAATATAATACTGGATAACTCCTGTGAGAATTTTATTGTATTAGATGATTTTTTAATCTAAAATGTAATACAGAGCTAGATGTAGCAAGGAATCTGGCATGCCATTATCTGTAAGCTTGTATCACATGAGCCACTCATATTAATGTACCTCAAGAATACAGAAACAATCTAGTTGAATAGGCTATAATTTTCATAGTTATTGTGACATTACTTTCTTACTATTACAGATTTTGCGCTAAAAAATACCATCCATTTGATCCAAAAACAAAAGAACAATATGTTGTTGGTGATAATTATACTCCAATGTGGCAGGTATTATTATAATATGTTTATTCCAAGTTACAATTTCTCTAATGGTGTTTGATGGAAGAAGAAATATCAACATATTTTGCTGTAGATCAACCAGTTGTACCTAGTATTTTATGAAGTCTGGGTATTCTGGAAAAGCTGCACATTTAACTGTAGAAATTATTTCTTTCTTCTTTCTTACTTGACTGAGTGAACACAAGATGGAATGTTTTTATCTTACAAGCTTCACAAAAACCTATTATTTTCAATTTAACAAATGAATTGACAATAGTAATCAAGTTTTTTTTATTGCATTTCAGGTGCCTTCATTGAAGGAAATATTTACTGAGATGGAATTTAGCTTTAAAAATACTCTACATTATCAAATCTCAAATAAAACATCAGGTAATATTAATTGTCTGAAAATATATTGTCTTTTCATTGGTCTAATATTATATTCACTGCAGAAGGTAGACAAACCTCATATTCACCATGTAATTATGTAATTAAAGTTTGCCTAGGTAAATATTACAACCATCAGGTTGATACATCTATAGAAATAATAATTTAAAAGGCTAAAGATCTTATTTTGGAGGAATGGTTGAATAAAAAGAAATAGTGGCTTAAAATTTTAACCTGTAAAGAATCAATAATATCACGTCCTGACCAATATTTGATATGTTTTTATTTGAATTTTAGAGAATAGAGCTAATCAAATGTGGTCTGATATTGAAGAAGCTATATTAACTGTATATAAAGACAAAGAATCTAAATTAATAGAATCTGCAGCAAAATACAAAACTACTAGGTAATATTCTTATTGGTCAGAATACATGTGTAGTGACTTCATAAAGTAAAGACTTTTTAACTACCATTCAAATTGTTTATGGTAACATTAATGTTTAATTTAAAATATGTTACTTAATTTATCTTGCAGGAATTTTTTTGAGATGGTCAGATTTGACTTTGTTTTAGATGAAGATTTAAATGTATATTTAATGGAGGTTGGTTTATATGATATTATAATCTGAGCATGTATTCTCGAAACGATCTTAGCGCTAAGATGTCCTAGAATCAATGTTAGAAGATAAGGACTTAGGACATCCTAGCGCTAAGATCGTTTCCAGAAGATGTGGCCATAAGTTTGATTGAAAAAAGATATGCTTCATGATATGCTGATTAAATTAAATTATTATCTAGTGCTGTCAAAATTCAACAAGACAAATGTTGAAAAGCTGCCCTTAAAAAATTTCCATTCTTGCACACTGCATGGCCTGGTCTGTTTTCAGCAACTTAATCAGGAGTAAATGCATTTCATTTTAAATCTTTTAAAGATTTTTAAATACTGGTATATTTCAGGCTAACATGTCACCTAATTTATCCTCCAATCATTTTAAAGAAAATAAAAGATTATATGAACATGTGATATATAATATGTTAGGTTTAGTTGGAATTGGTAGATCTGTTACTTCTCATTATCATAGAAGGTAAATCATTTTTATTTTCTATATATCATCTTGATGTCTTTTGTCATGAACATTGCAACTGAAGTTAACCCTGCTATACTATAATGCTATAGTTGGGTTGGAACACTGTTTTTGTGGCAGTCAAATAAATGTAGCTCATTTTGTAGAGAGTTGGATTGTCATCTGCTAGGGGATTAGATGCTGTTGGTTTTAAACTGCTTCAAGGAAAGATAAATTCTGATGCCCCAGCCAGTGCTGCTGAAAGGCAGCCCTGTCAGCCTTTAATGACAAATACCTATAAAACTAGAGACTATAAACTTTGCTTGGTTAATAAAGATAACATACTCCCTTAATTTGTCTGCTAAATTTTGATTATTTTAGTGCTGATGATGTTCAAGAGATGTTAGTATCTAGAAAAGATATTAGTGTTTTTCCTGAATTCTGTATTAAACATTGTTTACAGTCATGTTTACAGTTGGTAAGTAATCATATATTAATAAATAATACAAGTTACTACAAGTTTATTAAAATTTATATCAGGATACTTGGGTCTTAATACTATATGCATCCTGATATATAGGATGATGGAAGAAAAGTATCATATAACATAAAAATTTCAAACAACCAATTACATGTATATTTCCAGATAATAACCAAATAATATTACTAATTATTATTGTCAATAGGCTTACTGTTGGTATCTTTAGTTTTAAAAATGAAACTTTCATTTTGATTTTTCTGCATTTTGAATCCAATACATGTCTGTAATGCCTGCTATTGTAAAAATATTCTAGGCATGTGTTTACAATATTTTACTGATTAATATAATTCATACGTATTTAGGAACCTTTAGACATATATACTTCAGCAAAATGTATTGTTAAATTTTGTATTTTAGGAGTGTAAAATATGTTCACATTGTTTAACTACAAGTTTAGAAAGTACTTTAAAAACAGCATATTTAGAACATATGAATAAAGGTTCATGTAAAAGATTATTCCCACCAATAATGGTAGGTATGACTTATAGAAATATAACAGAGTTTTATGTTCATTCTTCTCAAAGATAGTACTAAAAGTTGACAATAGACATCAATTTGAAATACATACAAGAAAAGTTTATTCGTTATGATCTCTTAGTAAGATGTCCAGAAAAGATATTTATTTCTTAAATATAAGTATTTATTAAGAAATAAAAAAAACGGTTTGGTGATTGAATTCCCTTTTTTGTTCTAGACTCAGGAAGCTGCTACCAAATGGTCACTTAAAAGAGGTGACAAAGTATTCCAAAGTCTTAAAAAGACCAATAAATTAATGCAGATATGGTTTATTGGTAAATGTCGTCATAATCCATCCTTCTGTATTTAAATAAATCAAAATAATACTCAATTTTTAAGTATTTAGTAAGATTTTTTTACTATTGTTATATACATACACTGTCTGTTCTTTAATTTACATGTTTGCAACCAAATAACCTACTACCTAAAGTATTTTACCTGAAAGTGGTTTAGATTTAAATGTACATGTTATTGAAATTTTGTTTATGGATATATCTAGATTATACACCTTCAGAGTTAGGCTGAACTACTACAATAATGTATATTTGAAGTATGGCCAGGCAAATTTAGTAAATTAGGCATGTCAGATTTGTCCTTGTATAATGAAATGTATATTGAATCAACATTCTGTTTATAATGTTGAAGTATTTTGTTGTCAACTCTGTTGTCTGTCCAAAACTGGATATTCATTTGTATGTAAAATTTTGATAAACAATGTTAGGTCATTGAGTTAATGTTTACACTACAGTTTTGGTAAGATTTAAGGAATCTTGGCATGTATGTTATGTAAATGTATTGTGTTGATAATGATTTTCAAGATTTTTAAAGAAAAATTGATAAACTTGAATGGATTTAAAATAATTTTTGAAACTTTATTTTATTTTAACTTTTGTAATAGAATTATTTATTTTCATTTTCATATTTCTAGAATCAAAATTTCATATGTTTTCTACTTCCAACTGTGATTATTTATTATTGTATAAAATTTCATATTTTATATTAGAAAGAAAATAACAGAATAAAATCAGTAAATTAAGATTTATTGGATCAATAATTATCACAATAATTGTCAATATAATGTACAAGATGATGATCTTGAATCAAAATATCGGATAAAAGCCTTGCACATCAAGACTAGTTTCTTTCCTTGCAAACAAAATCAGAAAAATCGGTTATAAAATCACAAACTTTCATCATAAATAGTGACATGTGGTAGCAAATGAAATGAAAACATCAATTACACAAAATTTTACTTTGATAAAAAAAAAAGGGATGAGTGTGATAAATAACCTTTTGACCTAATCTGATATCTGCTTTAATCAATCAAATTCCTTCACTCTCTCACAAAATGCCAGTGCAGAAATTTGATTGATTAAAACAGGGTTGGTCAAAAGGTAAGGTAACTGAAACTAATAAAAAACGGAACGAAAGTTTGGTCAAATTTTATTAGACTGTGAGATTTAAGTGAGTAAAATAAATAAATTCAAAAGAAATTTAAATGCCCACAGTTGTGGCACAGTTTATACATTTGATGGCCCCAAAAACAAAAAGTTTTAATAAATGCAAAATGGAAATCAAGATACATATTTCAAACTTAATCCTTCAAATGCATGTATGAATTGATAGTAGACAGTAGTTACTGCTACTTACTCTACCACAAAATAATTCTAATGTGTTATGTTTATAAAGTTTTGGTGTTCCTAGATAAAAGGAATTTGCATCTAAACTCATGAATACTTCCTACATTCCTATTAATATCAAGATGAACTTGTTGATATCCTGAAAGATAGAAATTGGATTCTTGTAAAAATTTCTTTTTTTTTTTCTGTTTTGTTAAACTAGATTTATAATCATTAGAATTATATTGATCACTATGTCCTAGACGGCACCAGAGAGTTTTATTCCCTTAAAGGGATTGTAAAAAAGAAAAATTTGATGATGTCACTAATTGCAAAATATGATTTGTCACAAAAGGCCCTGCCGATTAGTGACGTCATCACTCACTTAGTCTTAAGTGGAATTGCAGGAATCACAGACATCTAATTCATAAATGGAATGGTGCAAAATGGTGCTATCATATAAAAAATTTAGAAAACCTCTTTACAAAATTTAGAAAACCTCTTTACAAAATTAAGAAAACCTCTTTACAAAATTAAGAAAACCTCTTTACAATCTATCAATATCAATTTCATTGATCAGACCTACTGGTTTTTGGTATTATTAGATAAAATATACTAGACTTACTTTGTTTTGTCAACAGTTGTATCTATTGATTTTGACCATTTTAATTTATCTTTAGTTGGTGGAGTAGGATGATAATATGTACAAAATCTATTTCTACATGACATTCCAAAACGACATGGCTGAAATAAATACACTAGTTATAACAGTTGTTATAAGAATGGACATTTTGTGGTTTTATTCGCTTGAAGCAAGAGTTGGAATAAGTTGAACCTGTTTAGAACTAACCAATCGAGCGCCTACATAGAGTACTTAACACCCAATAAAAACCTTAATATATAATCAGGTGTGTAATATCTCCAGAGCTTGTGTTATACCTACCGTTGGATGGTAAAATGAACAATTCATATTGGTACAATTGGGATAATATAAACATTGTTTTTTACTAGATGATGTTGGTGGTGGTGGTACTAATGATTGATGGTAAGACGGTGGTGCTGATACTATAACTTGATGAGGTAACGATAACACTGAAATAATAATAAAACGTCTATGTACAACACAGCTGTATATCATTTGCAAAGCAACGAAAATCGCCCCTAATTTTACAAATGAGATCTTCCATATATAGTTTCATTCATTGAAAAGTATGCATGTGTGGAAAAGTCAATAGAAAGTTGAGAAGTGACAACTTTATGACTGGCACACTATATATGATATAGCCATATATATAAACAATCAATTACAAGCTTAAAAAAGAGGTAGGCCTGGACACGACAATGGGATAAACAGTAACCTGTATTAGCTTAGTCAAACCACTCATACAGAGTGTACACTGGCTAATCTTACCTTGAGGAAGACCAACAGCTGGTGTTAATCTACGTGTAGCGTGGGTATATGGACAATCTGGTCTCGAACATTTGGCATCATATTTACAATTAGGATGTATATACAAACATTTGTCAGAGAATTTACATTGTGGAAATAATCTGAAAATATCAATTTCAACAAAAGTTAGGCAAATTGGTGCATTCCACATTTTCTTTATGTCAATAACATTTGAACTTATAGATACAGAATAAAATTGATCTGCTTTTCTAAATTTTACATTTTACAAGTTATACTGTTTTCCCAATTAATGAAAAAACTGGCTATAGTATTAGATATGATAAATTTAATTGACTCTGAGAGGATTGAGCCCATGACACTTATCAGTTGTAGCAAGCGACAGTTCATCTCAATCTAAACTGAAACTTCTCTCCTTGCACTTCTCAAGGTCTCAAGTCTTTCTATCTGAAACTGACAATTTGTATTAAATCATTCACTTCAAATACAAATTAGATTGTACTGTTCAAAGTTTATGAAAATACAGAATACACACCAGGACTGTAGGTAATCAATACATACTTGCAAGGTTGTGTTGGATGATGATATTGACAAGAATTACCATTAACACATGCTGGCCAGAATTTACATCTTTCTTTAGCTTTAACTTGTTTTAATGGTGTCATTTCAACACCTTCTTCTTCTTCTCCTTCATCTTTATTTAATAAAAGGAACACAGTTAGTAAAATATTACGGAACAGTTTACACTTTTATTGGTTTATCTACTGAACCATTTCATACTAATGCTGCAAATATTGGCATACTACCTACATTGTAGAGAATATCAGCATGATAAAACATTTTATTTTAACTGTTTTTTAAGAGCACTCTTATTTAGTATTTACAGTATTTGATGTTCAACTGATCTTTTTCTGAAAAGTTCTTCAAGAAAATTACTTTTGGAGGGTAATAATTGGGTCATAGAATTAGACCGGCTATGTAGATGTAATGTTTAATCTATAGTTTTTACCATCTGAATCTTTTAGTTTAATATTAAATGGTTGTATTCTGGGAGGATTAACTTTATTAACAGGTATATCTTGGGTTTGTTGTTGAAGTAAAGAATCAGCTTCATTCTCATCAAAATCTTCAGGATCAATACCATCTAATGTGACTACGAACTTTGGATTTGGTCTAAAATGATAACAGAATAAATTCACAACCAAGTAATCAAAGCACAAATTAGTAATAAGTAATGGAAAACCCAGATGCTTGATTATTTTCATTAGGTTGTATATGAACTACATCTTTTATATTTCAAAGTGCTTCTCATATTTAATTATTCATTACCTCGATCATAATTGTCCATAACAATCATTATTCTAAATTATATAAACCTACCTTTCTTTAACAGTTCTTTTGGCTCTAACATACACAGTGTTATCATTGTTCTCAGCAAGACTACTGTCCTCTAATACAATAGGTGATGATTGAACTTCTGGTGGTGATATTTCTACAACATCATCTTCACTAGATTCAGGTTCTTCCTTTATAATAACAACTGGTTGTGGTATATATTCTACAACACGGTTATCTAATGGTCGTGTTATATAAGCTGGTTGATAAACTGTAATATAAAAACATTTACATTAAAATAAGGCACAAAATTTAAAAACATTTCATTCCCATATCACACATCCAGGGGTCATTTCCATTGCACCTCTGTGGTCAAGCTAGATCTAATTGACATGGCATGTTGGGTCGCGATTGAATATGATTGATTTAAGGCAATATGGCAGACCCTTTAACCAATCTGCAATGTGCACTAACAAGTTTGGTTTGGTAATCTTTGCTCAAATTTAACTCACCAAATAATGAGCATACTAACTGAGTAAAATATTATGTCACACGAGTCTCAACTATAGAAAATATGACAGTTGGGTTGTGAGTTGCAAAACTTAAGTTAACCCACGCTCCGATTGAAGTTACCCAAAGACATTGCAATTATAGCTACTTGCAAATGTGAGAGCAATAAATACATCTTTGAAGTGTTGTTCTGCTTTAATTTCTGTGTGTAAACTGGACTTATTATGTGTGATATTATATGTATGTCCTTTTTATAGTTTCTATATGTCAATCTGGCAACAGCTATTTTAAACATCAAATTTTAGAACTGCTGAGTTAAAAAATACGACATGCGATGACAGAGTATTTCGAGCTACACACTTGCAACTCTTCACTTTTGGAGATACATTTGTTAAATTGCTGCTGATTTGTTATCAACAATTGGTCGTTCAACATACTTACGTGACCAGTTAAGACTTGTAGCCATTTGCAAAATAAAACTTTCACAAAAGATAAGGGGCCTCTTCATCTATATGTTGGTAAAAACCTTTTGAAAAAAGCAGAATGCCCCCTTGAGGTAAAATTTTACTAAACTAACCTTCCTCTCTGCGAATAACATATTTAGGCTGTTCCGGTGTATCATTATCTATTGTATATTTCATCTTTCGTATCATATCATTTTGTCTAGACTTAGAGATCAATTCTAATCTAGGTTGTTTATATTCAGGCTGGTAGGTTCTATCTTCAACATGTTCTCTTCTCATTGGTCTCACAACAACCTGACTTGCAGCAGCTGAAATTTTAAAAGCATCCATTTTCAGAATTCTATGCTCAAAGTGAGGCATGCTCAGAATCATACATATTCATGCCATATTTGTTGGTGATACATGTACGAGTACATGGAATTAATTTCAGAAAATTCGTAAATATACATATTTCATGAAGACTTTCACAAATACATTCATTTTAAACTTTTAAAATATTGTATTAAGAAATTCTATTCCTTACGTTTTGAAGTTGATGGTTTTTTCCTTGTCAATGATTTTTCGGCCTCACTAACAGCTCTCATTAATAATGATTTATTAGCTTGTAGAGATTTTGGTACACTTGATCTAATAATAGTGAAGACAACTCATAAGCATCCCAATATTAGCAAATTCTGTCATTCCCTCAAAATTTAAAATAAAATAAGTTTATGAAACTTAAGGTAGAACTGATTGAAGCTTTATCTAACCTTTTATTTAGTTTAAATGAAAACTTAATGAATGGGAGTTTTATGTCCAACTTTTGTGCAACTAATGATGATGAGTCCATTTTATTTGTTATTTATTTAACTCTCTAAAAATAATAAAAGAATGACCATGAAGAGTCCACTTACTTTCTGGCAGTAACTTTCACTACACTAGCAACATTACCAACGGCAGGATTCATTGGATCATATTCTTCTTCATCATCTTCTTCTGGTGTATTAATAACATTACCTATTATAGAGGTGGGTCCACGTCTTTTACTCCTCATATCCTACACAATATAATACAAACATTGGAATATAAAGCACAATCTAATTGAAATTACATAATGGGAGAAATGCACCATTTTTTTGACCAATCATACCTTAGTCTCAGGAACCATTGTTTCTTAGCTAAGCCAATCAGTAACATTGTTCACAGATCACAGGCCAAATTTGAGCCTTCAAATCCATGTGTGTTCAGAATTATTATAGTCATCTTTTCTTGAGACACTTTATAAATGTGAAAAGAAAATGTTAGTTTGTGATATTTTTGAGGGAATTATTCCATTTTCATACATTTCTAGTACTTCTGAAGACTAATTACATATATTCAAGATTCAAATCAACCCCCCAAATTGGAGCACATGTCCTTTGAATATATTAAATTGGCCTCAAATTGGCAGCATCAATGATGGAATGTTCTATATCTATATGGCCCTACTTTAAATTCAGTATTTTTCACCATTTCAATTATTGCTACCTATACCTCAGCCAAAAAATCCTTACATATGTATTTCATTTTATAACCTCTAAGTATATATAACAATTATATAGATTGAAGGTAAATTCTTACCGTTGAACTAGAAGATACTTGTCTGATAGGTGATGCTATAGCTCGTGGTCTAGAATCTGGTTTGGAACCTAATCTAGATATTACTGAACGTTTCTCTGGTTGGATGTTTACCACTGAACGTTTCTCTATTTGAGTATCAACAACCGAACGTCTTTCAGAATGGGCAGTTACTGGGTTATTGTCAACTTGAAGATCCAGTATCTCTCTAGTAGGTATCACAGTATCTTTTCTTAATATTGATACGGCTATTCTTGGAGGTTCACTTGATGAAGCAGATAGTTTAGGCTTTAGTTGAGATTGCTTTTCGCATTTCTTTGCCTCTTCCAACTGAAGTTCTTCAGTAAATTCATCTGAAATGAAGAAAAGTGATTTCAACATTGTAAACAGAAAATAAAACCAGCCGACTTTTCACAAAAATAGTTTATAATAAAAACAAAATCAAAACATTAAAATTAGACCAAAGCAAAGATTTTTTTTTAAAGCTGGGACTCATTTATAAAAATTATAAACAGAAACTATATCCATTTTTAGCTATGCTGCCTCTCCTATCTTGAAATGCAAACAAAATATAAGCAATTTCGGGTGTTCATTTAAAGCAAGCATGTTCTGCCTCAACAACAGGCAAACAAAGTAGCTTGATTTGAGGGAATTTTAGTCTGAAGCTTGGATAATGGTATTGCGTCTGGTATCATGTGACTTAAAATCTGATAAATTCAAAATACCAACCAGTTTCAGCTCTAACAATGAGTTCTGGTACAATTTCATCTTCCTTAATACTTTCCTAACTAAGATGCAACTGGAGTTTCCTCTGATTTAACTAATGGCTCTTCTGAATTGTCAGGTTTTTGGGGCACGTCTGCTGATGTTGCAGTTACAACACAAGTGTCACTGTTGTCTATATCGTTGTTAATCTCATTATCACCAGTATCATTCTGTACCAGTTTTTCTGAGGTAGAGGCATCATTCTTTTGAATACTATTAGAGTCTTCTGATGCTATATCTTCTTTCCTATGTTTTGATGTGCTTTCTTCATCATGAGACTCTTTAGAATGGCGTTTTCTATGTTTATGTTTGTGGTGCTTCCCCTCGTCTTTGGGTTCTACAAAATCAAAATATATCAATTTCCACATCTAGCAAATGCAAGTAATACAGGATTCATCTAGAGCCATGAAGATTGAAGAATCATGTTTAAACATAACACAATTCCAGGAGTATTATAAAAAGACATTTATGTTTATGAAGCTTAGGTGCATCTTAATGTAAAGTTTTCAGCTGCTCTTTGAGCTATATTTTAGTTTCTATATTGCTTGGAAATTGAATGGACAAATCATTTTACTGTATGCAGAATTTGGCTTGAGCTAATAATAAGATTTAGCTTTACCTCCTCCAATAGATTGTAACTTCTGTAACAAGTCATGTAACCTGAAATTATATTGAACAATAACCTGAACAATCTGCCTATTATAATATTGAATTTTTTATTTTGATTATTCTCTCATCTATGTGTACAAAACTATTCCAAATTTCTACAACACGTACCAAGATGATATTAAAAGATTTTCAAACTGGCCAATCTACAGATTTTCACTTAACCATTTTTGCTTGATTGGTAAAAATCAAAATTTCTCATACGTTATTTAGCAAGTGAATTCCAGTTTATATTTTAATTGATTAGGGATCATGGTTTTAGTAAAAGTATTTTGATGTCATTAGAAAGACTGTCTTATATCAATTTTGATATAAGCTTACAGCTTTCAAAGAAAGACATTAAGCTTATATGTAAATCTATTTTCAGAACCAATTACTGACCATGATGTGAAAACTTCAGTTTTAGCTCCTAGAAATAAATCTAAATCATCTCTCATCTGTGACACTGATTTTTTATTGGCCACCATGACCATAATATAATCAGGTAGTTCCTCATCTAAATAAAGAAAATATATTACAATGGTTATTTAAGAGGTTTAAACTATGTTAGTTCCTAATCGCAAAAATATTGCTTGAATCACAAAAACTTAAATCTTTTCAGTCATTTATTCTACTTAGAAATTCTTGAAATGCAAATATCAATTGAAATAATTTTCATTCAAGAGTAACTTACCTACATAAGCTCCAAGTTCAACAAGCTTAGCCTTGATAGCAGACTGAAGAAAAAGATAAAACTGTATGAATAACTTTTCAAATGCAACATTTGTACTGGCAATCCTAATTGTTGAACTATATAGGTATAAATTTTATGTTAAAAAAACTTATATTATAAAAATTGATATTTCATGGGCAATACATGTAGCACAAAAAATGTGTATAATGTTCCAAAAACAAAACTTGATATTTCTTTTGCATATTATCTTTTATAAACTAAATGAACTGAATAAAGTTTACATGCACAAAAAGAAAGATTTGACTTTTGGGTACTACCACATTATCTAATTAATCATTGGTTAATCCCCTTTCTATATCTTAATCTATACAACATGACCAGATATAGTTAGATAATATTACATCATTCTGACACTTGGTCAACATGGTACCATCTGATAAACATTAAATTTGTTAATTCCTGACAATTTTATATCCCTTAAACTGTCATTTCATTGGATCGTAGAGATTTCAAACAAATCTAATTGGCTCTCCTGCTTAAAACAAAGAAATCTTCGAGCTTCATTTAAAAATCATCAACTCAGCATCCTTAAAACAGGTGTTGATTAAACACAATCCCCACTGGTTCATTGAATAAATAGACAGACAGAAAGACACTTCCATTTTAAATTTTGTGACTAAAGAACTCACAGGCTTGTTTTTTCATGAAAGAATTTTTGAAAAAAATTTAAAATGCGTCCTATTTTAACACATTCCAGACAGACTGTGCCTAGCAGATATCACACATTTAATAGGTAAGAGCTATCATTAATTTAAAGTCTTTATTATGGAAACCAAAGTGATAAATGTATATCCTTAGCTTAAAAATGTAGACTTTAATGATTAAATGGAACACTATACTAAATAGTAACTAAAACTACTTTTCAAACAAAAAAGGTAACTAATGGAACTGATGTAATATACTGGTATTGGCATTTCATATCTGAAACCTTAAATCCTTCAATACAACCCTCTAATGCTGGGTGGAATACTGTCTTTATGTGGAAGTTGAATAGGTCAGTCGGTAGCGAGTTGGTTTGTCATTTGCTACTAATAGGTGCAGTAGGTGTGAAGGTATCCAGTAAGGCCTAATGCACTAACAATCCAATCCTCCTCAAGCTCAAGATGACAAATTCTGATGCCGGTGCCAATGCTTTGAAGACTTGGCCAAATAATCATGGATTTAAGGCTGTGCTCTATATCAATGTATTGCCTTTTCATTTTGATACAATGCAGAAGGTAAAAAATAAAACAGGGGAAATTTTTTAATCAGTTTTCAGAAAAGAAATATTGCATGATCTAAGGGCCTGAACAAAAAGCAAATGGCATTCATTTCAATCAGTTTTTTACCCTGATCTTGTGGCTTATTTCTGTTCCAATTTCCATCCTGGAATCGGTAGTTTTGCAAGTAAAATGTAATAATTTTATCAATTTTATCTGCAAAACGTTGTCCGGAAGTCAAGTTCTTCCATTTGTTCAAGAGAAGACAACTCGCAGACTATAATTTGAGTCATGGTTTTCCAGAGCAGGTGTTACTATCCATAGAAATGTATCAAATACGTGATATCTGTATATTTATCTGTTAAGTGGTACAGAAAATTCATAAATGCAAACATATGTTTTAAATTATGATCATGCGAGTGTTGATACATATTATTTACAACTATTTCGGAACTAAAGAAGTGGGCGTGTTTTAATGTGACATTTCAATCAGCTGATAAATAACTAAGCATGCGCAATGAATATTTTGCTGCCAGATGTAAACAAAGCAATTCAAGAAATATTTTTTTTCCTGAAAACAAGTCATAACTTTACGATTATTAGTATACATCTTTTTGACATTAATTATATTCTTTCCACTCCCCATTGTGTTAAATTAAAGTCTAGAACTCACAGTGTTTCAGTAAGCTTATTGTCTACATAAAGCCCACAATTAATGTTGAACCACACTTTTCAATGTTTACAAAATCACATTTTGACATTTTCATCAACCAGTAAGCCTAGTATCTGACATTCAACAGCATTGATGTACAAAGTAATTTTCAGATGTATCAGGTTATAAAGTGACAACTGAAATCACATTTTGTTATTGTGATATATTACAATAAGTTTATTTTCCTTATAGGGACAACATGGCAGCTCAACTTAATCTGCCATTAGAGAGACCTGTTGTAAACAGTCCTGTAAGTGATGATAATTCTGATCAAACAGTGACAGTAACACCTCCATCCAAAACTCTAACATTAGCATTAAACAGTCCAGAGGGTATTGATTGCTATGGTAACGAAAGAAAAGCTTTATTAGATCAAGGAAAGTTCTATAATAACCCTGTATTGAGTGATATCAAACTGGTAGTTGGTGGACAGAAATATTATTCTCATAAATTAATATTGGTTAAATGTAGTGATGTATTTGAAAGAATGTTTAGTTCAGATTGGTCTGATGAAAATTTAAAGGTACTATCTCTTCTTTTTTATTGATTATAGTGATTCTTTCGTAATTCAAAACTTGGGTGACATCAAAAGGTATGGCATCTAGAATTATCAATGCTAAAGGGGTTTAATGATGAAGTTTATTTCAATTTTTCATAAGGCTTTCGTTTTGTCATGGTTTTTGAACCTAGGATCAGTACTAAAGTGTCACAAAGGATGGTTGATTGTTAGTACACTTAACATTTTAATATCGACTAACAGATAACTAAATAGAAGAAGATTAATTGTTATCAATGATAACCATGTACCATATGATATTTTTAATATATTTTAACTAGGTATTTTTATCTCCTATGCGTTTGAACTTTGACATCCATTACAATTATAATAAACTGATAGCTTGTAATTCAAAAAAATCTTACAAACTTATGAGTTGAATCCATTTGCATATTAAGCTTTTTATAGAATTTGCTAATACTTTATAAAATATGGTAACTTTTTTATCGCTTTTTATACTTCTTTTCAAAAGCTGTTAAATCTCTATCTGCAATCAAGCTGTTAAATCTCAATCATCTTGTTATGGTTAAATGATCTTACTCATTTACTCAGCTGTAGATAAGGTTTTGCTGCTGGAAACAATTTCAATGGAATGAATAACATCAAATCAATGATAGTCTATATTGCCAGTGATGTTTGATGCTTTTCTATCTTATTTTAGGAGGTTGAGTTAAAAGAAGATAGTATTTGTATTGGTGTGTTTCCCAGATTTCTCAAATTCTTATACACAAATCATATTAAACTAAATACAGACAATAGCTTACCAATACTTATACTGGCAGACAAATATAATATAGTAGATTTAAAAAATGTCTGCATAAACTTTGCTAGTACATGTATCATACCAAAATTACAATTAAAAGATGTCTTCCATATTTGGTTTCAATATGCTACTAAATGTTACCATCAAACTTTGATAACATGCAGTGTCCAGACATTATCAGACAAAATGGAGGATATCACATCAACCGTGGAGTGGGAAACAGAATGGATGAATTTAGATCAGGATCAGTTAATAGAATTCCTTAAAAGCTCTGAATTAATCATTAAAGATGAATATGCCTTGTGGAAAGCAACAATAAAATGGTTAAATGCTCCACAGAATGTAGAGAAGATACAAGAAAATTTGAAGAAAGTTTTGTGCTATATAAGATTTCCTATGATGGTACCTGAACAGCTGTGTGAAATAGAATCAAGTGCTATCGTTGAACAAAATACTGAGCTTTTTCAACACCATTTAAAATCTGCTTATAAATATCATTCCTTACCACTTACTACTAGAGCTAATATGAAGGAATTTTCATCATCTGCTTTTCTGCTGAGAAATTATTCTGATTTACGCTGGGATAAAAGACTAATCATTCCAAAATATTCAACATTACCAAAAGGTGAAGAAGTGAGTCTGAGATTTGCTACAAGAGCATCTTCATTTCCAGCACAGACCTGGGAATGGGAATTAAAAATCAGTCCTAAAGGATTTTCACCAACTTGTGATGACCTAAGAACTATACTTTATTCTAATCTTATATTAGATCAACCACGTCCAGTGGAATATCTCTTATCAGTGGTTGGAAGTGACCAAATCTTACAGTCTGTCTGTGGTCGCAAAAACTTTACCAAGGCTCGTTACTCAATTGATACAGAATTAGAGAAGAAAATATCTGTTAGTGATTTAATGACATCAAATTCACCTTTATTAGTTAATGATTGCTTACACTTACAGATACACCTTAAACCTGTTGAATAAACAATTTAATAGTTTCCTGGTGAATTGTAAGCTTTGGACAAACTTTCGGTAACTACATTAACTTTGGCATCATATCATAAGTAAAATATTAAATATTTTCTTGTGTTCTTTGGTGGATTGGTTAGGACATTCCAAGATTTTTTCAGACCTTTTTTGGTATTCAAGATGAAATTTGTTATGTTGCACATATATATTTAGGCACATTATTATGGTTGTAAGGTTGCACTCTAAAATGTTTATTTCTGTGAAATTATGCTCCTGTCTTTCTTATATGTATGTATGCTAAAAGTTGATTATATTGGCATCAAATAGCCATTGTTTTGCTTAATATATTTGGTTGCTGGTTACCGATAGATGTTCTCCAATTTCTAGTCTCAATTGTGATATAAATCATATTCAAATCAAAGTGTAATTATGGTTGTGATAAAATTTTTTAGTAACTTTTTTTATGCTTTATTTTGATAAATGTGCTCATTTTCATCTAAGTGCCTTATTATAGATTACTATAGGAATTTCATCATGTGTTCATTTCCAAATAATGTTGTAAGGGAAGTTTAACATTTGTTGATAAATAGTGCTATTATTAAACAATAAATAAGTCTTGATGATTTTTCTCAGCATTAATTATTGTAAAACAGATTAAAGAATCTTCTTGGTATTTTCTTTATTTGCTATTTGCTTTGCTTGGCATTATTCATTATTTTTTAAATGCTTTTAGATTCTTCTAGAACAGTGGGTTTATAATTACTTCAGAATTGATATCATGACTCGTCTTCATTTGTCCTTATCATTTTCATTTAGATGCTTTTTCTTCTGTTAAGTTTTGAATAAAGTACTTTAAAGTTTAATTACCAGAAACTATATTCATTATATTCCTAACCTAAATGTAAGGTCCATATTGAAGAAATGTAAGAGTCATACTGTATAGTAATGGGGTTTCTATGAATCATTAGAAGGGGGAGGGGGTCTGAGAAGGGGCCACATTATTGTAAAGGAATGACTGTATTCACTAGCATTATACAACTCTGTGATACACGAAAGATGGCTATTGAAGTCAAGGTATTAGACACAGTTCGTAGTAGCTTAATATTGTGCTTGATGAGGGGGTTGATGACAAGGCTATGGAAATGAGGGCTCTCCTCTTAAAGCCCATGAAGCACCATTATACAGAAACATTTGTAGGAATGCTTCGATGAATTTTTGAAAACGAATTCAAGGGAAATCTTAGATTCCACTATTAATGTGTATTTATGGTATTTTAAACTGGTTTTCATTGTCTTAGTGGCCTACGTGTACCAGAAATTTAGATATTAACCACCACAGGTTTACTACCAGACCACTCTGTAAAATCGTCCACCAAGTGGTGAATATATATTTCTTACTTTCATGGTTTATGGACCTATATTATCATAAAGTAATTATACAAATATATCGAATTGAAATCGAATCAGGTGATATGGACATTAACCTTTATTTTCACCTATAGATTATAGATAAGCAAAACATTTCAATATTATTAATTTTCTGGCTCACTTACCAATTTAAACATCACGAGGATAAGTCAAACGTGAATAAGCAAACAAAATGAAAATATTAACAGGAATTATAGTAACTTTAACCATAGGTAAGTATATGTTTTGTGATTGTGTGGATAATGACCTAATAAAGATAAATTCTGCAATACTCTCTTCATTTGCTTGTCTATTCCTGAGGCATTATGATTTGAATATTACCGACACAAAACTATCTGGGAACCCTTCTTTAAATAAGGACTGCATATTCCGTGAGGATTATTTGAATAAAATACTGTCAACATTAATTGTAAATTTTTTATTAAATTTGAAATACGTCATGCTGTATCAAAAACGAATAGGCATTTATAGATCTTCACACTGCAGGCAATATTGTCACGATAAACGTTACCAATGGACAATAGGATAGGATTAAAACACAAATTGTCTTAAAAAATTATAATTGGAGGAATTTTTTGGGACCCAAAGATCGATTTTGAAGGTTTAAAAATGACTGACTAACACCTTTGACAGGTAAAGATGTCAAGATAAAACAGCTGAAAACGGCAGAAGAGGCTTGTGTACTGGTCGATCAATTCCGAAAAGTGTCTGATAAACAAACTTTGATCAGCATCAGAATGGATGTTTTATTCAAAAATTCCCTAATAAATATATTTATTCTAGCTTATTCAGTCCATAGCGAAAAAAGCTATGAAGATTTTATCAAAAAGGCCGGTAAACGTCCTTTAATGAGAGAAAGTTTTAATAAAAATAATAAAGTTTTTGGCGGAAAGGTAAGTCAATTACAAAATTATACAAAAAAGGATTCCTTTGTATATGCACTAGGGCCTTGCTCTTGGATGCAGGGTCTAGTACTGCGATGAAGTTGAGATGTCCTAAATACAGGACATATGTCAATTTGACTATTTCACGGTGGGTCAGCCTTTGAGTGTTTTTGGCGGGCACAATTCAGCAGGTAATTTGTCTGGTAGTGACCATTCTACATGCCAAGAACGAAAACTAGATCTAGTCAGCCCAGTCCCCTATACATATATGATCCTGCATTCCGCAATTGGCACCAAGTTCGTTTGGCCACACTTCTGACTGCTGCTCCTTCTGTACCTGGTAATACAAGGACTCTCAAGGTTCTCGCAGTTTTACACTTATTTATTCCCACTGGTTACAGAACCAGAGCGACCAAGCAAATCTTGGCTCACTTCCTTACAGTGGGTTTCAATACTAAATCCTAATATCCCAGATCTTCTTTTTTTGTCAAATTGACAAATACAGCCGAAATAATTATTCCTTCTTTTGGCAGAGATCAGCTGAACCGTTTCCATGTGAACCTATTGCACCATCCAATCCAGCACCGATATCAGGTTAGTCTGGTTTTGTTTCTATGATTTGAGGGTAACCAGAAAGACAATGATCAATGATTGCCTTTATTGTATGTTTCTACAGATATTTCACTTTTTTTGCAATTGAATACCCAGAAATTTTCTTACATTCCGGACAATTTATTAGGTAACCACCCATTTACTGAAGGTGAAGACAGGCCCCTAACTAGCAACTTATTAAAGGTTAAGATATTATATTTTTTTTATCCAGTGCACAAATTGAGACCGGGTGATATTAAAATTGTAGCCGCTCTTGGAGATTCTCTTACGGTAGGTCAATATATCCGTTTATTGCATTTAAAGTAGTCATACTGAAACAGTTATTGTTGCATTGGTCAAAACTATGCACTCTTAAAGAGAGTTGAACGGAATAATATAATAGTTGTCGTTTCTGTCTTATATTTATTTGTTTTACCGCTAAGCTTTTATATGCTCTTGCTAAGCTCTTACATGCTCCTGTTATTATGTTACGGTTGTTCCTTGAAATGATAGAAGACAGAGTTTAGATAATATAACTTGTATTGCTTCAGTTGTTAATTCATTACATGATAATAATAATAATATGTTATAAAACTATACATTAAAATACAAATGATAATTATGAAGAATTAACATAAATTCAATATAAATATTCAATACTCAATGCATACATAATATATAAAGTTGGGGGTGTTTATATAAAATGTCATAAATATAATAATTAACTAATATAACATTGTTTGGGGAGAGTTTACTCGCTTGTAATGTCGAGAGGCACTACTTGCCAATATTCTTAGGGCACGACATTATCTTGAGCACTTGTGAGTTAACGCATTGAGTCCTGATGCAGCCTTGGTAGATAATCTAAGGCTCAATTTAATATAATTGAATAGTTGCTTTTATAGATTATCTACCGCGTTGCACCAGTTGGGGCAGTCAACAGGCAAGTATGGAATCTAAGGCTCAAAGTATAATAACGTTTGATTAATTCATTTTATAGATTCCCTATCAGGCTGTGACTACCAATGCTCTCATATAATATAATAAATGTATATAAACTGAACCTTTTTTTTTTTTTTTTTTTTTTTTTTGAACCTTACCTTGAAATGATAGAAGACAGGGTTTAGATAATATAACTTGTTTTGCTTCAGTTGTTAATTGAAGAATATGGCAGAGGCTGGGTTATATAGCCCATTCTAGGACGCTGTATCTATAATCAAATACAGAGCTAACAAACAGTTTGTTTGTGGCAACCCAGCATAGTAATTAAAACTATAGCCAAATCCCTCTAATCAACAACCAAGCTTAATTAGCGATAATACCCTGTCTTCCATTTCAGGTGATAGTTAATCTCTATATGAGATTTATAATTAAACATTAATACGATGAAGGTTAATCTACTACAATAAGGCTTTATGATGAATTTCCAGGTTTCATAATGTACATTGGTTTTCCACGAAATATGACTATACTGCATGACAAGTACGATAAAATAACAATGTTATTTATAAATCAATTTAAAATTATTTTTTAGGCTGGAGTTGGCATCACTGCAAAGACTATTCTTGATCTACTGACAGAAGAGAGGGGAAAGTCGTTTAGGTACGGTATGATTGTCGCCTACCATTAACCCATATACTCTATATCAACAAAGCATTTGTCCCCTAGAAAAAATAGTTTTCACCCCAATTGAACCCCCTCTTTATTTTCAACAAATTAAAAAAAAACCTGACGTTTTTTTACGTTTATGTCCCAAACTATGTGTCAGAATGCGCCAAATGAATTCAATTTTTCGAAAAGTTTCTTTGGAAAACGCCACCATAGATGCTCTATGAGTGGCTTGCGACTATGAAGCCTCAACATTTTGAGTTCAGCCTCCGCAGTTGTCAATCCAGTATCCCCCACTCAGTTAAAATAGTTAGTAAAACTTGTTCCCCTAGTCTCGGGAGGCTGACACTGTCACAGACCAATCGTATTATGTTTGTTGCTGTAATCTCAATTTCGATCAAATTCCATGAATATGCATAGAGACAATTATTGATGAGCTATTACTATAATCACATTGACATATAATGTATTTTTTTATTTTATTTTATTTATTACAGTATCGGTGGTGATGGGACATTTGAAGATTATGTAACAATTCCTAGTGAGTTTTTTCCTTGTTATATCTTATTCTGAAGTCTTTTAAAGTTCATCTAGCATGTCGTCTCTTGCTAGTCAATTTAAATGTTATTATTTGCTCCTCCGAACAATCAAGTTTGGCTACGGGCCTGGTCGTTACATAGTTGCAGTCCAATTGTATTGTATTCCAATTGTATTGTATTGATTTTATTGTATATTTTCAGACATTTTAAAGAACTACAGCCCGAACATCACAGGGTTTTCTGTTAAAACTGGTGGTTTATACAGTAAAAATGCCAAATTCAACGTTGCAGAAGCAGGAAACGTTTTCCAGTATGTTGTGTAAATTCTAATTCTCTCCGTTATGAATGGTGATCCGAGAGAAAGTTTTATTAGGCATGCCCATAGAGTTATATAAGTAGAACATTCTATTTTTAACTCTATCGGCATGCCAATATTAAGATTTTTGACATCACCTTTACCTTCAGACATCCTTCCATCCAAAGATTTCGATAGTTTCTTAAATCATTTTTTTGAGTATGTAAGTGTAAATGTAATGATATGATATCATTTGTTTTCAGAGACCTTTCAGACGAAGCTAGACTGTTGATAACTAGAATGAAAGCTGATATCAATATTGATATTAATAATGACTGGAAATTAATAACTATCTTGATTGGTGATAATGATTTATGTAAATTCTGCAATGAAGATGTACGTACATGTATTGTCATAATTTTAATAATAATAATAATAATAATAATAATAATAATAATAATAATAATAATAATAATAATAATAATGATGATGATGATGATGATGATACAGAATCAACCGGTTTATAGCAGAAAGTCTTCATTGCTCATGAACGAATAACCCCTCTCTCCTAATTTGAATATAACGGACAAATCCATAATATAGTTGTTAGGAGGTATACTTAAATGTTTTAGTTACATGTATTTGTAGAAGATATAGCTCGAATAATTTCCAAAATGGTTATATAGGTGACAAATCGTAAAGGAACATACAAAATCTAAGCTTCAGACACTTCTGCTCTGAGATAATAGTCTAGATGTGTTGCATGAGAATATCTTTATCACAAACATAACGCTGAATAAATACTTATGAAAACCCTATCCCATATCAATTTCAGGGCCATGAAGCCGAGAGATATAAATCTCTGTTAGAGAAAACTATTCAAATTTTACAAGATAGTTTACCTAGAACTATTATCAATCTCATGGAAGTTTTAAATGTTGAAATAACCAAAGATTTAAACAAAGGTCTTTTTTGCTCAGTCATTCACTTGTAAGTTATGTAAATAGATGAATTTAGAAGAAAAGCGCAGCGTCTATACCTTTGGATCTTGCCTTAGAGATAGCGAGTTTGATACTGTGGTTTTTTATCTCCTTGTTACTGCAAAGACCTTAAGAAACAGACATGACTGCATTATGTATATGCTAAATGGTTAAGAATTAATGATTAAACTATATTTTACAGTACCCTATGTGGATGTGCTTCCTATCCTAAAAATAAACAAGATGAAATCGACCTGAGAAATGTAACCAGAGTATATCAGAATATAGTCAATGATATAGCTACTTCCGGTAAATTCGAAAAGGATGATTTTACTGTAGTGGATCAACCATTATTTAGAAATACGTATCTACCAACAGTGGTAAGATAGTATTTCAACATTGATTTCGCCGAGGATGTTTCCTATTCGAGCTTAGTTTTAGTTTTACCCAATAGCTTTGTGGTATGAATGTATGTGCTTCAGCTTAATTCATGAGCTTAAATATTTCGACAATCGCTTAACTCTAGCTCCAATTTGCAAGTAGCTTTAAGGTTCGCCACCTTCCACCGAAACAATTTGTTGCTTCTGCACACCAGATATGCCATACATGTCAAGTCGCAAGTGCGTCATCATTTCACTATTACGATCTAATTCTTTTCACTACATAATTTGATACGTTTCAGGAAGGAGAACCAGATTATTCTTATTTCGCACCTGATTGTTTCCATCTGAGTCACAAAGGTCAAGCAACAGCCGCAGTAGCCTTATGGAATAATATGGTAAGACTCTTACCACCAACATATCAGTCATTTTGTATTCTCAAGCGTGGCAGGCAACAGCCACCAATAACATTGTGCCTTTTTCAATTCCTGACTGTCAACAGAACAGACCTATATTGAAATGCTGTCAACAACGAACACATATACGAACATTATCAAATTTATTTGTGTTCTGAATCCAGAAACTGCACTTCTTTTGGATATCTGTTTATAAATGTTCGTGTTTTATTTCAGTTTCAACCTGTTGGTAAGAAAGATACGAACTGGGGAATTGGTAATCCAATATTCTGTCCAACAGAGGCAAGTCTTAATATTTCAGTTCATCAAACAATATAAACAAACAGCCATCCTCGATATAAGTACCATGTAGGAAATAAGCTATGATCATCGTAGCCGATTTCGCTGATAGAGGGAAAACATGATATTAGAATTTGCTATCCTACTAGTATAACATGCAAAGTTCCTATGTGATAAGCAAATTTGCGGGGATGACGTATTGCAGGAACCACAAACGTTTGATTGAAAATTGGAATGGTGCAAATTGATGCTATCAAGTGCCCCCGATAATAATACAAAATAAAGAAATCCTCTTTACAACCCCTTTAAACCTTCATTATCTTGTATTTCAGGAATCGCCATATATCTACACCAATAAAAACAGTGTGAATAGGACAAGTAACAAATCAGTTTATAGTAGAGATCATACTATGAAATTTAAACTGGATAGTTAGGTTCAATACTTTATAACATTTCTACTTCATAACCTATCTTTCTCTGTTCTGTTATAAGATTTACCGGTGGTGTATTTTTATGTTATTAAAATCTTTTTATAGTATTTGTGTTTCTCTAAGGCGAATAAAACTGTGTTTTTTTCGTTTTTGATCCATTTCTTTCGTGTTTTTTTCTGTTATCGGTGATTTGAGTGTCAAAATTGAGTGTAGAAATTGAAATTTGAAAGTTAAATGGTATTAAAAGATACAGGACATAATAATTTTCAATTCGCTGGATTATTTTCTTTTTTAAATGAAATCTAAATAACCTTGATTGCAGAATGACATTGTAGGTCTCTGTTTCCAAAATGTGTACCCATCGTAACATACAACCACTATATTTATTGACAGGTTATAGTAATTGTAGGTCAAAACATTGGCGGTGAACCAAGAAACATTGTTACATAAGGTAGAAAAGTTATGATTAATTTTTGGAAAACAATCACTTCACATTGCAAAATTTTCTCAGTAGAATATCAAACCCCATCCCTCTTTGAGATGGTGTCTCCAGCACCATTTGTCCCCAATGTTGTAGACTTCACAATTGCAAATTTGGCGTCTTTCGACCAAACATGCTTCTTTACTTGCTTTCTCACTTCTAATTTTGTCATAGGCAAATGAATTCCCACTCACAGGCCTCTTATGACGAATTATTGCCCAGTGTGCTCTGGCAAGACCAAACCCATTTATTAGAATGGCTGCAATACTGGCGTGGACAAATTGATAAAGAGTTGAGTCTGTATGGACTGTCACAATATAATAAAACACCTGTCAAACCAATTTAATGGAAATATAAGATTCCATTCTTATCAATGATTGTCTTATTTTTACCTTGATAAGATTTTGTCTGTCACTTGTAATTTTACAGTCACTGGGAAAGGTTGTTTTCTCAATCATGAGAACTTTCTTATTTCTTATCTGTATGGTCGCCTTGGGTAAGGTTTATTATTATTTCATTTTATCATTTTATTTTTGTAAATCTTTATGATCCGGAATTTCGATGAAACTTTTGTCTATTTATACCTTTTTCCTGTTGGTGTAAGGGAATCCTACCCAGTTAAATTAAACCCTTTTTGTAGACAACATTACTATATTTATGATAATGCTCCTGAAACTGAAAACTTATAATGCACTTATTACATTACATTGTACTTGCAGTGGACCACAATCGTACTTGAATCAAATGATGCAAGCTAAAATCAGTTTAGAATGTGCTTTTCTACATAAAGCGGCATTTTTTCCCCTGTGCATAGCCTTTTTTGGTATTAGCTGAGTGGTATAGCAGTTACCATTGATTTAAATTGTCAAGGCATTATACAATGTATGACACAATCCTCTTACCTGAAGGACATGGCTACCGAGTTATACTTATCTCAAAATTAGATAAAAAAGATATAGGTCATTATTTTCTCCAATTTATCTAATTTTAGCTTATGTCAATCATAAGGCCACAATGATGAATATTTTTTCTTGTCATAATCGAAATTGCCTTCATGCATAGAAAATTACTGATTTTTATTAGGTACCGTATACTCCAATCGGTTATTGGGTTAAATGAGACGCAAACAGATTGCATTGAGAAAATACTCCCCAACGACTGTTTACTTTTACACGGAAGGGGCTGGGGACTCGAGAAGCTGTTCAACAATAAAATCATTTTGTTATTTTATTTTAGCCCACAGCCGAAACCGACATGAGAAATATGAACAGTTAGTGAAGCATGTTTCTAAAAATCCTCTTCTCGTGAAAAGTTTTGAGCAGAATCTCAAGGAATTCGGTGGGAAGGTAAGTTTCTAAGAAACATTGCTATAGGTCTATATAAGACAACCTCATCTTGTGTGACGCTGATGAAGAAAATGTAGCGAATTAAGATGTAATATGTATACTTGAAAATGATAACTTGACAGAATGTTAACGGACATATCAGATGGGTGTATCTTGTTGGCACCCATGTCCAAACATTTGCACAAATCAAACCTGCTGAATCATTTGAAGAATGTAAGACCTATATCATAAAAATGTATTATACTTTTAGCCCACGAAAACAGACTTTCCCTGCAATGTTTTAGCACCATCCCCGAGTGTTCCAACTTCAGGTATTGTTTTTCCTGTTTTTTTTTCTTTTTCGTCTCAGCCCATCCTCCTTTCCAATTCGGGCTAAACATTAAATCGTACGGTGATCTTTTATTTTCTCTCGGTTGAATTAATGTAACATTAAAGGGAAGCTCTAATGCTAAAACTTTTATTCCAATTGCAGACGAACCAGATATATGGACGTTTTAAAGGCATTGTATTCAGATGAATGCATCACTTTAATATAATTTTTTCTCTATCAACAATTTAGATCTAACAATGACAATCTGGACGGACAAGTCTGCTAACTGACCTTAATTAAATCATGTCTTTGAATATATTTCAGTACATAAGTTAAGACCAGGTGATATCAAAGTGGTTGCCGCTTTGGGTGATTCAATTACTGTAAGTATAGACTACAATGAAGAATATACCACTGTCAGATCATAATTATTACAGAATCGTACAGACCAAACCTTTTTTAATTTAAATATTTGTGAAATAACATAAAAAGTTCAATTCTGAACCAACTGTGATCGGAGATTATTTTCTAGGTACATTTACATATTAAGACATGTATAATAGTCGCATAATTCGGCAAAGCAATTTACTATTTATTACCGATTTTAGGCAGGAAATGGTATCACAGCTAAAACAATATTTGGGGTATTAAGAGAAGATAGAGGACTTTCATATAGGTAAACATTCTTTGAGCGTTTTTTCATAACAATTAGACTCCGTCAAATCGAGTTTAAATGTTTTAATATATGATTATGGATAGTTACTCAAATCTGATTGTGGGTCGTAAGTATAGATAAAGTCAAACTTGAGTGTGGTCAATCTGCGAATAGATAAACTGTAATATGAATATTAATAAATAGAACTCTAACTGAAATCTGAATAGATAAACTCTAATCTGAGTATGGTCAAACAGAAATCTGAATAAATAAACTAAACTCTGTTCATGTGTAAACTAGCATTTGTATAATAGTCTACATAATATCTATCAAATGATGATAAGTCTAAGCTTAGATTTCGTGTGATGGATAAAATTGTAAAGAGTATTTCTAAATTAATTATCAGGGACACTTATAGCATCGATTTGCATCATTCCATTTTCCAATTTTTAGTCAGATGTGTGTAGTTCTTGCAATTCCACTTAAACTTAAACTGAAGCATATAAAAAAACCTGGTTTTCGTGGAATTGAAAGACCCACGGACGCCTGATTAAAAATTGGAATGGTTCAAATTGATGCTATCAGTGCTCCCGATACACTTAAAAGGTTCACGAAACCTCTTTACATTCCCTTAAACTAAAATCGTATGAGTAATATGGAATCTTGTTGTTTTGTATGATTTGGTCGAAAAGAAACGTCTGGAAGATTAACCATAAATAGAAATCAAACTGTTTATTTTGATCGTATTGTTATTTTGTAGTATTGGTGGAGATGATACATTTGAAGAAGCTATAACAATACCAAGTAAGATATTTTGGGATATCTATAAATCGGGAAAACGCTAAAATAATAGATTGTTCTATATAGTTCTTTCGTTCACTATCAAAACTGGAATTATTCCAGAGTACTTTTCCCTTATTTTCAGACATCCTTAAGAAATATAATCCTGGAATCACTGGTTATTCCATCAAGTCTGGAAAGGTTTCCAGTAAATATTCAGCATTTAATGTCGCCGAGCCTGGAAATGTTTTCAGGTAAGTGGAACATTTACACATATTGAAAGGTTCAGTACAACTATAGGAAATTCCAAGTAATTAACCAAAGAAATCACTAATCTTTGATGTTTTAAGCACACTTTTTATCTCCATATTCAGTGATTTAACAGATGAAGCCAATAAATTGATAGAAAGATTGAAAGCTGATATCAATATTGATATTAATAATGACTGGAAATTAATAACTATCTTGATTGGTGATAATGATTTATGTGATATTTGTGATGAAGATGTAAGTATGTATAAGTATGATTAAATGTAATGATTGAATGGTAAGTAAAGTTAACCCAAGATCGTGACTTTTGTCATTGTGAACATGACCCTATTATATGTAAAGTTTATTTCATAATAGTTGTGAACATGACCCGATTATATGTGACGTTATGTTATGATTATTGTGAACATAACCCCATTATATTATGAAGTTTATTTTATAATGATTGTGAACATGACCCGATTATTTGTGAAGTTATGTAATGATTATTGTGAATATAACCCCATTATATGAAGTTATATAATATATGTTATAATGATTGTGATTGTTTGATTTTAGGGTCATGAAGCTGAAAGATATGTTGCTATGCTAGAAAAGACGTTAGATACATTAAGAACTAATCTACCAAGAACTATAGTCAATGTTGTTGAGGTATTAAATGTGGATATTGTAAGAAAGTTAAATAAAGGATTGATATGCACTGTGGTTCACTTGTGAGTATACTCTTTAGTGCTCATATTCATTTCGTCAGATTTCAATTAGTAATGTGTGTCAGCTAGGCATAGGTGATTGAAAACATAACTAAATTACCAGGGGTAGCCTATGAGAGTAAAGCAAGGTAAACCCCTGTTAAAAAAAAATGGAATCATTCCACTTAAAGTCGAACAATTGTACAGCTCCAGGCCCCGTATTCTCAGCGCTAGGATGTCCTAAGTTCTTTTCTTCTTACATTGATTCTAGGATATCCTAGCGCTAAGATCGTTTTCAGAATACAGGGCCAGGACACACTGTTACACCGTTTTAAGACTGGTTTGAAACCGCGACACCCTTTACCTTTCTTTTTTGGTAATATAGACTAAGTCATCTACGCTCGGATAAACTATTTTGAACTTTTCATCCAAATATCTTTCGTTGGAAATATAGTCATTCACTGAATTCCCTATCGGATAACTTAAGTCTAAAATCACTCTTCTTTCATTTGAATCACTTTTTGGGACTGTATTAAGGGACGATAACTTATAAAAGGAACCGAATGGATTTTGTTTGAAAGGTACGGAATCTTCTGAAATGTTCTGTACACCGTCTGAATTCTTACCATCATGATTTATGTCGAGGGGTCGACTTTTAATGGAATAGAACTTGTTTATATCAAAGTCACAAACTTCATTTGATTTACCATTCCTCACACTGCTTCTCAACCACTTCTCTCAGACATGATGTCTTTACTCATCCAATATCAAGTCAGGTTCTTTCCAAGATATTCAACTGCCGTATAAACCAACATTAACCAGAAGAAAAAATACTGCTACTTGGTTGAATTTCAAATATAAACTGATTTGTTCACGTTTTAATGAGAGGGTTAAGAATACTTTACTCGATCACTATCGAAAAAGAGCTCAGTATTTTAAAACAACTCACAACACAGGTCAGGGTTAATCAACAAATTATAACTTAAAGCTATCATGCCCTATATAGTACACAAACTAAATATTTACTTAGTCATTTATAAATAAAATTAAAAAATGCCACGTTTTTTTTTCTTTTCAGCTTCTTATGTAAATGTGCGGCTTTCCCGAAGACTGATAACGATAAGGCAGAATTAAGAAATATGACTCGAAGATACCAAACTATCGTACATGAATTAGCCACCTCAGGAAAATATGACACCACTGAAGATTTTACAGTTGTTGATCAACCCTTCTTCAGAGATACTTATGTTCCCAGAAAGGTATGATCTAAAGTTTCAAATGGTTCATTTCACCTGTGTGAAAACTCAAGACTTGGCAACGTGTAGACCTATCAAAGACACTATATTAAATCGAAATTTAGAAAGTTGAAGTCAACACCATGTCCACAGCAATTCAAGAGATTTTCTGATGCTATTGTTAGTGATTTTAACTATTTTTTAAATTATTGCTCGGATGGTTTATTTCCAGCCTGGAACTAATGATGTGGATCTTTCATACTTCGCTCCAGATTGTTTTCATCTTAGTGAGATGGGCCATTCTAATGCTGCCATAGCTCTCTGGAATAATATGGTAAGTAGGTCGTATGCGCAAAGTCGACGCATTGGCGTACGGTTGATGGATTACGTTAGCCATCAGTAGGCCTATATTGACAGGATTTTGTCATAAGTGGTAAATAAACGGGCATTATGGTCTTCAATGCTTAGGCTCATAATTGTTATTTGAGTTCTTGATTTACTTGATTTCTTCTGTGATCACAGCCTGTGATGGGGGCGCCTTTTTTTAATAAGGGGCACATGAAAATAGAAATACCAAGGAACTGGCAATAAATGTTTTTATCTTTTTCATTTTTTCAGTTCGAACGTGTTGGTCAGAAAGCAACTGAATGGGTTCTTGGTGAAACCATTAGCTGCCCGTCTGAGGACTCACCTTATATATTTACAAACAAAAATAGTCTTATATAATAAAATATAAAAGGACAATATATTGTATTGATTCTGTTGTATTTATTTGTAGACTTACAGTCTGTTTTATACAGGCCTATAGCCTCTGATAGATAGACCTATAGCCTCTGATATATATATAGCCCCATAGCCTCTGATAGATAGGCCTATAGCTTCAGATAGATAGGCCTATAGCCTCTGATAGGGAGGTTGGATCAATGAACAGTGTTTGTTTTATCTACAAATTATGCCACATGATAGGTATTTCGGTTTCGAGACTTGTTGAGCCTCACCGGTTTCTCTTAGCATTCAGACCAAAATAATGTCCACATATAATAATGTTGCAGGTTATTAAAGCATACACAAATTTATCTCGAATCCTATATCTGTTTTGTTCTGGTCCAAGTCTTGTCGGCCTCTATCAGCTATTTTTGACAGAAACAACATAATTTTCCAAGTCCAGTGTGTTGGGCTGATTTTAAATCTTCATTTTAGAAGTGATTTTTGTTGTGGTCTGACGCCAGTTTAGCGGAAATAGTCAAGCAGTTATTCCCCTTATCAAACATGGCAGCCTCCATGCAACAACAATATTTACCAAAACAAACCGTAAAAAGTGTTTTATATGGAAATGTTTTGAAGATTGGAATTAGTTCTTTGTTCCTTATCACACCTTTTTACTTTGGCCCTTTCCTAAGCCTAGTTCAGAACAATGACACGGCCATTAAAATACATATTCTCTCAGTTTTTATTCTGGAAGTGTTGTTTCGAGTAATATTACCTGCTGATAAATCGCTCCTTTCCAAGGTAGTCTGTCTCTACCACAATTTACAAGTATACAAGAAATTTTCTTGATACTTACACGGATAATTGATTTTTGTGTGACTGAATAAGACAATTCTTCCACATGTAACGCACTACAACCAAACTGGCTTTCAAAGATCAGGAAGGTTGCCTAGGCCAACTGGCTATCTGATAAAAAATGTGTTTTACATAAAGCTATGGAAGTCTTAGGATAATTAGGAGCTACTATGTATTATGTCATGCTATAATAATCAGTATTATGTTTCTATTTGTTCCTTTTTTCTAATGTTTTTTTTTTGGTATTTTCCAGGGTACAGATGTCATAAAATATATACTCATTATTCTTATCTCCTGCATATTTTATTTCTATACATCAATTGTTTATGGTGCTCCTTTTTTATCGTAAGTTACATAAAGACTATGAGTCACTAAGCAACTATTGTCTTTGAACAATTTTGTAAAGAGATTACTAAGATAAGATAGAATTTTATTGTGGGTTACACCATATTTCTCATAAGGTCAAATGGTACAGAACTACCAAACATATTATCAATCTTGCCTGAGCGACTTGTAAAAATAATCAAATGCTCATCAAGATAACAATGCAAGTTAATATCGTTCAATATTTCTTTCAGGAAAATCAATGAAACTTTACATTTCTCAGCTCTGTTGACCACTACAACAGTTATTCCATTATGTTTAAACCTAGGTCCTGATATCAACATCTGGATAAAGTCACTTCATTTACACAGGTATTATGTTGTTATTTTTTCTGTCTGACAAAATACGTTTATTGCACACTGCATGATGATTTAATTTAGTAGCCCTTGTCATAAGGGCAGTGGTATCTAGGTGACTCTTTATAGTCATTATATAGTAATCTGTGAATCTGTATTATTGTTATTTCTTTACAGCACTGATGAGAGTTCCTGTTTAAATGTTGTTTATTCCATCACATGTATGTCAAGTCTATTTGGAGCATGGCTTGGTGCCTTTCCAATTCCTCTGGATTGGGACAGACCTTGGCAGGTAGAGTAGCTTAAACCTTTTTATTTTTTTACACATAGTAGTTCATTACAAGTAAAGATTCACAACTGGATGCATTGACCTTATGATTTGGAATAATATTCCAGCAGATGTTAATATCAAATATTTATTTACGTTTTATCTAAGTATGGTAATTAAATGATAACATTCTATTCTTATTTCAGATATGGCCTATAAGTTGTGTTATTGGTAATATATTAGGTTATATAACTGGTGCTTTCCTCTCTAGTATTTATATACTCTTCAAATATAGACAATTAAATAAACTTAAATTAACATGAATAAAACATTGTGGATAGTTTAATAGATACAAAATCTCAGTCTGAGAAATGTTTTCAAACGTTTTAAAATAGTAAAGAGTGAAATTAGTAGCTATTGAAAGACTACCATCCAAGCCTCTTGTTCATGGACTGTTAGTGCTTATGTATTGAATCATGCCCAAATGTGTATAAAATCTATCTAAACAATCAGGATGGAACAATGGCTCATATAGGTCACCATTTAAAATGTTATCTATTCCATGAATTCACTACTGTATATAAAGCATGTTTAAAGAAAGAAAAATTACTGATTGATTTTCTATTTAAGTGCATATTTTTTCATAAAGAATTTATCTTTTGTTCGATAGCATTAGCCTCTGAATATGATAGGTCCCTCTGCACACTTCTGAACCAAAAAAATTTGACCTAATATGATCTAATTACATAACTAATATATTAATCAACAATGTTTATTTACATATCACAGTTATTATTTAACAAATTAACAATCACTCATAATTAATACAAAATATAACAATTTCTCATCTTACAAAGTATCATTAATTTTGATAAAAACTTGTTTATGGGATTATTATCTTTAATATGAGCCTTACAACTTTGGTAATACAAACAAACATAATCATTTTCCTGTCATGGAAAGCTCAATATTTCGAAAAATCATATCAAAACACAAGATAAGAAATATGTACGCAACACTGTGAATTTATATACATGTTATAAAATGTAAAATGAATAAAAAGACCAGTTTTTTATATAAAGTGACAACATTACCAATAATTTTGATAATTATAAATAAAATGCTTGAATATGGGCTAATTTTAGATTTGCTACTAATTTTCAGCATGACTCAATGAAAAATCTGTAATTACTAGCTCATTTTCATAGAAAATATCCATCAACTGAGTCTGGGACCTTCCTACATGTACAGCAACATAATAAAACAAATGATTGAAAATATTCTGGGGTGTAAAAAATTAATTTGGAAGATCAAAGTGAACATTTAAACTAGGACGTCTGTTACGTATAGATGAGGTATTTGTGGCTGATAATAATGTTACGTCTGATGATTTTAAAACTGTTTCCTCGCTATCATCAGGAGATAAAGCTGCTATACTTTCCTCCTGTACATCATGATCAGTGACTAGTATACCAACTGTTTCTGGTTGTATGTTCATTCTATCAGCTTCTGATAAATCTTCATTATTCTCCTCTTCTTCCGATTCATTTTGTTCATCTTGTTCATCTGTTAAAATATAGATATCTACATTCATGTCTTTCTTTAAAAGCCCAATAGGTTCTTTAGTATTACACAAAATTTCTAAATTTTCCATTGGACTTAAAAACAAAACTTCATGTACCATACAGTAATTATATAGTTAAAAACTTAAATCACTGTTTTTTACATCCCAGTGCTGCTATGGAAGGGAGATAACTCTTTTTTAGTTTTTTCAATAGAAAAGTTTAGTGTTTAACACCATAGATGCCAGTGCTTTTGAGTTGTCTTTCACCCCTTATACCATGTTAGTTGTAAGGAAATGGTTAGAAAATTAGAAAAATTTGGGTTAAAAAGGATCCTCTTACCTCTTTCTTGATCCAGTTGTGCTTGTATTCTAACTCTACGATCAAATAGAGAATATCTTCTATTGAGTATAACAGGGTCTATCATAACATCTTCTTCTTCATAGAAATATTTCAAGTAGGATAATAATGTTATTATAGAGAAAAATATAAAATTAGTCAATGTTCCAATAATACCACTAACTACTGGCCAATAGAATAAATAGTACCTGAAATACAAAATGTTCAAAGTAGTAAAAAGGAAAGTATTATATAATGACCTCAGAGGTCCAGTCAAAAGCAGTTTCAATATAAAAATCATTCACCTGGACTTACTTCAAGAGCTTTTAATTTGGAATACGAGAGTCAATAGTTCTAGTGAAAGATCTTCACCCTCGTTAAATTCAATTTCAGGAAAATTTGAGCTGTGTGCAAATGATAAGTTCTTATACTAATTTATCTTACTGTTATTATAATAGTGTCATGTATCAGTGTGTTATAAGTTATATTTATTTTGGCAGAATAGATTCTTGTTTGTTAAGACAATTAACATGTTGATATGATTGAAGACCAATTTTTTGTTGTCATTTTCAATTAATTGTAAAATGTATTTGGCAATACCTCAGTCCTGTAAAATATGCATAAATATTTAATGTAGCTGTATATAACTGAATCTTTTTACTCTGGATTTCTACCATAGCACCAGTTGATGGGTGATTCTGAAAATAAATAAAATCATCAGAGTTAAGACATTGACATTTTTAATAAAATTGAAAAAAATAATAAGACATTTATTAAAAGAATGAATAAAAAATTGAAAAAAAAAAACATACACATCACGTCTACTGTATTTTGGTTGATTTTTTAATTAGTTTAATAATTGTTGATTGATGTACAGAATCGTATTTTTTTTGGAGTGAAATACATAAATTTTGAATTCGATTACTTACATAATTATCAATATAGGAAGGGAACATTTCTATCTCTAATTCCTGCTTTTCTTCTGTGGCACCAGATATTAATAATGGTGCCAAGACAAGTGTTTTCATTATATTTAATAATACTGATTGGTAATGTAGAACTGTCTGCAATAGAAATGGCAATCATTAATAATATGTGAAAGCACATTTCTAAATATTTGCTTTACAAGTTGATAGCTAAATATCAGCTTTTAAATAAAAGTCTTCAACTTGTTATCCAGAGGATTGGATCATCCCAACAAGGTTTGCAAGTCAACAAGTCAGCAAGACAAGCAAATTTTGTCCAAATGTGTGTAAAGGTTGTTTCCAATTTATTAGGCCTATATGAGAACATGTCCTTCTGAAAAATATCTTTAAACCATTTGATATCTTCCTTTAAGAGATCTAAAAGATAAGAGTTCAAGACACCTACAATGACTCATATTTCTTCATAATTTCACACAGAATTTTGTATCAATGCCAAAATACTATTTTCAGGAGATTAACATAAATAAGACAAGTAGGTTAATCTGATATTATTCTAGTATATTATTTATAATTTAGGTCTAAAGGAGACATTATATAATTTAATCCTTTCTGACAGGTCATCCATATTTTGTAAACAAAACAATTACAGGATTTGATTTATAAAATGGCAACAGACTAAAAAAAGAAATTTTGTTATAACTAAACAAACTATTCAAAAAGTTGATTACCCCTTGGTATAAATACATCAACATTCTTGATAGTCATTAGATATTAACAGTTTACATTAATTAATTGGATTAAACACTTAATATTGATATGATATACAAATCTAATTTGACCACTGCTGATTTTCACAATCAACATGAAATGCCAAGTTGACTCTAGATTAAAAATTCCACATCCATGGAATGTTTTTTTTCCAGAACGAATATGTAATATTAAATAGAAACAAGTTAAAAATATATCATGAGAAACCTAATTCTAATTTCATAATAAACTTACAGAACGAGATGATTTTGATGTTACTTTACCATTTCTATCATACATCTTTAATCTGACCATAAACATTCCTACAAATAGATTTACAAATCATTATTACAAATTATATTTTGTGTACAACTTTAACAAAGAAAATATCAACACATTTGTCAAGTCTTAAATTTTCTCTCTGGTGCTACACTAACAAGGATTTATTAATACAGTCCTCTATATATATTGATTAATTAAGCTTCATATTTTGTTTCAATGTTGTCTTAGCAAGGAACATGGTGGAACATAAACACCTAGATCATTTTCAACAGCCAAGACACAATTTTGTTTTACAAAAGGAAATTAAATATTTAGTGATTTCAATAAGGATGCCAAATCTAAAACACAATGGTCCTACAGAATCAGAAATACGATTATTAAGAACATGTCTTTTATTTTACTCAAAAATATATTTTTAAAAGGTCTACCTAAGTCATGATTTACTGGGGATTCAGGAACTTCTAAGTTTATTAAAATTCTATAAACTTGTCCAGCTCTCAAAATCTACCAAAAAAAAAAATGCCATATTATGTGTCTGTTGAGTTTTAGGTTCAAACCTGACAAGGATATTTACACTAGTCAGATTACTCAACCTGGTTACCCTTGGTTAGTAGTGAATATAAGAGAGGCTGACATGATAAAATGTCTAGTCAGTTTGGATATTTTATAGATAGTTTGAGACTAGTTACAGCTTTAAATGCTGTAAAAGATAAGGAAATTGAGGGACTCCCCTTTTATTTTATTTCACCACAATGTCTCCCAAAGAACAATTACATATTGTGACTGAAGATAAGTCATATAAAATAAAAGTACATACTTCTTCTCTATTTCCATCTTTACCAAATGATACATTTGCTGTAGGAAATGAGCACAATCCAATACCTTCATCACAGACTCTGTAAAATATACACATTACACAGCTGTATTAGAGACATGCAATGGATGGCATAGCCTATCTATACTCTTCCTTACATATGTTATTTTCTGACAAGGGAAACTTAAATGCAAGTTGAGAGTAAATTTTTGGTAGAAATATATTAATTGATGTGTTTTCAATTTTACTAAGAAATTATGAAATGTTTATTTTCTTCCTTGAAAGGCTTGGTTTGTCATCTTCTAAAATTGCCTGCTAGATTCGTCTTCATTTTTCTGATAGTTAGGTCATAGGTCAAGTATTGCTTAAATTACTTTTGATCAGATACTATGTTAAGCTCACTACATAAAATATATGAAGAGACACAAATTATAAAAGAATCGTTCGAACATCTGATAGAATAATGATGGAAAACATCCATTTTTCCATCTACATTGTCACTCCAAAAGCTTCTCGAGCAATAATCCAAATTTGAATTACATGTATATCAGTTCAAGTAAATAATCAAATGATCGTCAACTGGTAAACATAAATTTATCAAACTTCATACTTACTCAAAGTCAAAATGCACCTTGTTGATATGTGAAGAAGAAGGCATGTAAAGCCAATAAAAACTTGCAAATACAAACACTGATAACCATAACAAAACAAGAACTATTCCACTTAAAATTGATAACCTTAGCACTGTATATTTCAGCTTAGAGACTGTCCATTGCAATATAAATCCAGTCCATTCGAGGACATTGGTAGCTAATCCTACTAACTTGTTGGCCATTGTAAAAATCTACATACAGTGAAATTGTCGACCTATAGAAACCTTTCAAATCCCTTCAACCACTAATCCCATGTCCATTTGTTTTGATCTCTATTACCATCGCTTAGGTAATTAAAAATAAATTGAGACCAATAATAGGCTTAGCTTTCAGAGACTTTTGTAATTAGTATATTGCATCTAAAATCAAATAAAATCGCAAATAAAATGACATAAAATAGATTTTCGATAGTAATATATAATAGAAAAGTCATTTTGAGTTCAACTTGCCTTTGCCATAAGCGACAGAAGAGACGGAATTACTGAGGAATTGTGGGAAGATTACCTTGCGCCATGTTTTCTAAAAAATTGTTGTTTTGATGAAATTACCAGAATATTATTATTTGCCATTTATAAATTGATTTATGGAACTTGTCGTGTGCTTTTTGAGGTCAATTGTAAGTTAGATTCTTACATGACTTAGGTCAACTTTAAACATGATCACCGTGTTATTTTTTTTTTATCATTCTTTCTTCATATTATTAGGATTAGGCTGTCCATCTGATTTCTTCTCAGCTGGGTTTCTCAGACAAGTAACTTTATAAAACTTCACTACTCTTGGAACTTTTATAGCTACTAGACCTTTGCAAGTATTATTTGTATCCAGTCAATGTGCACTGAGCTCTTGGCCACATTGTAAGAAGCAATAATCAATGGAGATCTTAAACCAACTCAAGAGAGCACCCCTTTTTAGGCTTTCATCCCATACAATATTAATTTTCATGAGCTTTTTAAATGACTTTGACAGTGCAAGATCTCAATGCAGTAAATATATTTAAGTTTCTCTAATAAAAATTGTTTTTTCTTTTACAGGTCATTTGTCTTAATCAGACATCATGATGTCCAGTGAGGTTGCTCTGTTGACACCAATCAGTGTTGCTGATCCTAAAGCAATTGACCTTGATCTGTCCTTAAAATTAGAAGAGGCCCTGAAACCTCATGGCATTTTTGAAAGCCCAGAAGAATTGGCTCATAGGTAAGCTTTTACAGTATTTGTGCTTTCTCCAGTAACTTGGATTTTTGATTATATGCATGAATATTGTTTAAAAACAGTACAGATATTCTAGAAAGTTTTTGTGTCAATAAGATGTTATAAATAAAATGAACTTTTTTACTATTTCAGAATGGAAGTTTTAAGTAAAGTAAATTTATTAGTCCGTCAATGGATCATAGATGTTAGTAAAGAAAAGGTTAGTGTCATTAACAATTTATGAGATCCATAACATTTTCATCAGATCATGGATCTGTATTCACCCAAAGATGAAATATGAAACAAAACTTTTAGATTTGCATTTCTATCAAATTGTGTCATTAATGTCTCCAATCATAACATGATAGTTATATTTGCTGGAATAAGCTCACTAACTTCAGTTCTCCAGTTCTGCTCAATATTTTTAGTGTGAAAGATTATGGATGAAAATGTTCAGTTAGCAGTTTTCAAATGTATGCAGCTGTTGTTTCTTTAGTAAGAATCTTTTTATTTATATAGTACTCATTTACTTAAATTTATTTCATATCCATTACAGAATAATATACCAGAAAACAAGGCAGAATGTTTTGGTGGAAAGGTGTTCACATTTGGGTCATATAGATTAGGAGTTCATACTAAAGGTAAGAAACATTATCTCATTTTTTAAAGAATAAGTATAAAATAGATATTTCAAAATAATGAATTATTGTTTTTTAATCTAACCAAATTTCCCTTTGTTCCGCATGTTACTATCATTAATAGTACCAATGAGTGTTTTTAGACCTCAACCATTTTGAATTCATAAGCTGATAATGTATAGAAACAAATAACAGGAAACCATATGACTTTAAAGCAATTGTATTTTCTAAATTTTCCTGATGCACATGAAAAATTAAGAAAACCTCTTAACGAAAATAGGAAAATATATCAGGTTATGTATAATACTTCTAAAATTTTCTAAATTCGATTCTATTATTATGTTTTGATCAGGTGCTGATATTGATACATTATGTGTGGCACCAAGACATGTTGATAGACCTGATTTTTTCTCCTCATTTCAAGAATTATTGCGTCAACAACCAGAGGTCAAAGATCTTAGGGTTAGTAAAATATTCCTCAGAACTATTTGGTCTACGTCCTTTAAGATTTTGGGAAGGAATAATGTAATTATTAAGTAATTTAGTATTTTGAAACTTTCAGAAGACCTCTTCACTCTTCAAAGATTAAGACTTGTTTTGTGCTAAAGTGTTGTTTTACTAGCTTCTGATTTTTTTAAAAAATTTAATAGATATTTATTACTAATAATGTCAAATATTTTGTTTGAATGACAATGAAACCACAGTGACAACAAAGATTTTTTTTTGCCTGTAATTCCTGCATGCTTTCATTATTTTAGGCTGTAGAGGAAGCCTTCGTACCAGTTATTAAAATGGAATTTGATGGTATTGAGGTAAGTAATGAAAACGTTTACTTACAATCTCAGTGCTTTAATATAATAGTAGAGAGATATTAATGTCAATTGGATGTATAAACTTCTTAAAAGTTTCAGATTTAAAGTAAAAGAGACAATTTGTATTTAAGATATAAAGCAAAATACTTTATTTTTTCAGCTTGATATGTTATTTAGTAGACTTGCTCTACCAATCATACCTGAGGATATAGATTTAAGGGCTGAAAACTTGCTTAAAAACTTAGATGAAAAAAGTGTCAGAAGTTTGAATGGTAAGATTAACTATTACTCTTCAATTGTCAAGTAATGTTGAAGACTTTGTATAGTACGGTATATTGTATTATGATTTACATTCTAGTAATATGATTCAATGTAAGTCCAAATCTTCTATTACCGCATGGTAGAATAGATAGAATATGTGTACACGCTATATTGCAGCAATAACAAATTTTTAACAACTTCCAATTAACTTAATTTGTTCTATAATCTCTTTTCTAGGTTGCAGAGTGACTGATGAAATTTTATATCTGGTACCAAATAAAGATAACTTCAGAATGACCTTACGTGCAATAAAACTTTGGGCAAAAAGTATGTATTTACTACATCATTGTGTCTAACTTAGATAACTTATTATTTTGAAGCATGATTTGAAATGATAATCCCAGGTTCCTGCTTATGAAAATGTTTCCAAAAACTGTTTTATTTTCTGCAAGATCCACTCATCAAATTGTTCTATGTCTATCTTTTATAGAGAAAGGAGTTTATTCAAATGCACTAGGATTTTTTGGTGGTGTATCATGGGCTATGTTGGTAGCTAGAGTGTGTCAGCTTTATCCTAATGCAGCACCAGCCACTCTTGTACATAAATTTTTCTTAGTCTTCAGTAAATGGTAAGTAAGTATAGGATACTATTTTTAGGCCTGTTCTCTGTGTGCAATAATATTTGTTGTTTAAAAATGTAGAACTTTTGATGCTTCTGATACCTGCTCATTAGAATCATTGATCTGAAATCTTTAACAAGCCTCAAGAAAACATGGGAAGAAAATAGGAATCAGTAATTAGATAATCATGTATTATACAGTATTCATCAAGGCTTTGCTGCATAGTTTATTGCCTTGATTACTATGGTTGAAATCATGATTTCAGGGATTGGCCTCATCCTGTGTTATTAAAACCTATAGATACTTCAGAAAATAAACTTGGTTTTCCTGTCTGGGATCCTAGGGTAAGATATTAGATTATTATGTATGTTTATAAATCACATAATGATTAATGAATGTAATACACACAGTATTGATGATTTGGCAGGTTTGCTCGATTATACTTTCATTAGTCAGTGAAAATAATTCTTATAACCTATGAATTTTACAGATCAATCCTGCTGATAGATATCATTTAATGCCTATTATTACCCCAGCCTATCCTCAACAGAATTCAACATATAATGTAACTAAATCAACACGTACTATTATAACAGATGAACTTGTTGAAGGTATGTTTTTGCCATTATTTTTTTGTGTGGTATAGGTATATTTTGAGATACACTGAAAATGAGTATATTTTTTCACAAGAGAAACACTTATTCATATATGATATTTATACTCAAATCCATGCGCCAAACAAAAAGAAAAACAACCTGCAAGAAATGCAATTATTTATGTCCAATATTTCTTATTAATTTCAAGGTTTAGAAGTAGTTAATAAGATATATGAAGGTGAAGAAGAATGGGCCAGAATATTTGAACCTTCCAATTTCTTTCAAAAATACAGGTAAAAAATTTTAATTCTTAGTTATGTTTTTGAAAATTTTCAATTATACTTTTATAATGCCATAAACTGTTTAAACAAGATAGTGTCTTATAGCTGGGTTATGTTGATGTTTTTTTTTCAATTACAATTATGGTATATTGCTTGTTTCCTATTTAGATTTTTTGTCAGTGTTGACACCCCAAGTGTTGATATTAGAAACTAAAGCCCCATTCCCTACAGATTTTTCTGATGAGAATTTTGTATTCAGCATAATAATAACATATAGCATATTGACTCATTTTTATAAATGAAAGAAACCAATTTAAAAACAACTGGTCAATGGTAGATTCTGCTGTTCTGGAAAAAATGTCCCCGATTGAACACAGAATGGTTGGGTAATGAAAAAGGATTTGAGTAGGATGTAACCTGCTGACTCTGATATAATTTGTATTATTATTTTATTTTTAGACATTACATTGTACTGACTGCTAGAGCAGAAGAAGAAGAACATTATTTAGAATGGTATGTTAATACATGTTAATTGTTATATAAAATTCTTTTAACCTGCCTTGCAGTCATGACCTACCTATCTGGCACAGAAACCATGGCTGAATCATAATGTAGACCTAGCATGAACTGTAACTTTGTTTGATGTCAATGTTGTTAGATATTATGTGTATACAAGTGACAATTGTATTATCTGAACTAAACAACTCTAAAATGTCAAGCGCCTTTTTTTAATACAAAATATTTCTGTTCTCAAAATGGAATGGATGAGTTTCCAAGCTTTCTGAAATCAGTTCCAAATCTTTATATCTTATTATTTCAGGAAAGGTTATGTGGAATCTAAAATTCGATTGTTAGTAGGAAATTTAGAAAGAAATTTATTTATTAAACTTGCTCATATCATGCCTGAGTCATTTGGTCCCTTTAGTGAAAGGTAAGAATATTAGATGTAAATATTATGTTAGGTATATAAATTCAATTCAGACCTAGACCCTACAAATGTCTAAAAAAAAACCTGTGGTGCACATTTTAGGAACTTTTATTGAGAAAGCATCAATCATTGAATAATCAGATAAGAAAGTGTGGTCAATCCCATTTATTTACCTTATTGCATAGTTCATGGCTAATACTACTACTAATCATTTCACAATGGACATTTATTATGTATTTTGACATTTCAGTGAAGGCAAGTTCATGTGTAAATGGTTTATAGGGTTATTATTTCATGATACTAAATCAGCTAATGTAGATTTAACATTTGATATTCAGTCTTTCTCTGATGTAGGTAAGTGGATTAAATTTTTTTCTAGTATACATTAGAGTCATTGTCATATTAATTAGTAATAGTGTTTACAGCTCACCGTTAAAATTTGGTCCAACAAATCCATGCGTTCAGATTTATTCGCTTTGTAATTTGTCTTTTCTTGAGACTCGACCATATATAGAAAAGACATAGAACCTTCAGGTTACTATAAAAGTTCATGTCTATTTTGATCATTTCAGTTCATAAAACAGCTATACATATTAATTTATTTAAAGAGGATATGAGAGTTGAAATCTCCTATGTCAAAAGGTAAACATACAAGTGTTTGATTTTATTTTATGAATAATATGTAATATATTAGATCAATTTGATTAAGAAAGTAAAAGTAACAACTTGTATTTTGTAAATTAACCTGTGAAATTCCATATAAATGATAAAGATAGATACTGGCATTCTGGCAACTATTATTGTCAAAGTGTATCCTTAAAGAATGTGCAAGAAATATCAATTCCAACTTGGTGATCATGGGTTATAAAAAGAATACAATTATTTCCATTTGTAGGAAGCAGCTAGACCAGTTTGTTCCACAGGAAGTGTTAACTCGAGGAAGACCAATAATAAAAAAACGGGTAAGATTTAAAAATGACTCTCATTTTGTGCATTGAACAATTTATAACACCTTTGAATACTAAATAGTCATATTTGAGAAAATATACTAGTATATTGTTTTTTTTTTTTCAGGAGAGTTCTAAAGGAGTGAATAGTGCTGGTGATTCAAGGCGTGAAAGTATAGAAAAGAAAACATTACCAAATAGTAAATCAGAGACAGATTTAATAAGAACATCAATAGATGGTGATTCACAGGACTCACAGGCGTCTAGTAAAAATATGCCTCTTAATTCCTCCCAGGTAGGCTTAAAAAATGTTATAGGTTCATTGAGAGATTGGGAGCATGCATGGCATTAATTTTAAGGTTGAATCCTAGCCTTGATTGAGAAAAATCCATCACACTGTTAAACATTACACTGACTAGTTATTTAAAGTGGGGCTCACCAGAAATAGTCTTAAATGGGACACTCAATATACAGTATCTTTAAGTCTAAGAATCAGTAAAATTTGTATGAAATAAGATGAAGTATTCACTTAATGACATTTTTATGACTATTTTTTTGAAGGAATCAGTTGCAACCACAGATTCAGAAGTAAAGAATGGAGTAAGTATTATTTTTTTAAGCCCACATTTGTTAAGGAGAAATATATTGTTGGCCTCCATATCCATCCATCAAATAGTGTAAATACTTTAGATCCTTTAAGGTGTGGGCACACAAACGGTCTTGGTCAGAGATTTTTGACGCCATCTAGAGTCTTGTCAAGAGTTTCACAGACTGGCACAGGCACATGAGGAGATTCTCCAGTCGCTTGTTTTCAACCATGTGGATAATCACATGCAGAGCAATCAATTGAAAGGAAAATGAATCTGATTCGATCATAACACCCTGTCTTGTCTAACGGAGACAATTATCCAACTTGTTTAGTATTACAAATCTTGTCGGGGACACAATAATCTTGTCATGGAAGCAGAGGCACATGCAAGATTTTAATCAAGAATCGTATCAGCGACAAAAATCTCCGACCAAGACCGCTCTTGTGCCTGCACCTAGTTTTCATTATATATTCCTAAAACTTTGTATAAATGTAGTATTATATTTAATTAAACCATTGTATTTATTTTAGGCTGATGTTGATGGTGAGAAGGAACCAATGGAGGCTGATCAGGTAAAAAAAATTTACCTGGACCTAAACTGTCCAAACTTGGAGTTTCATGATTTTAATTAAGATGAAGATCCTGCTTAATTATATTGAGCTTATATCTGCTTTTTTGATTCTAAATCAACTTTCTGCTGTTCACTTGTCTAAAATTTTCTTGTATTTTCTTTCTTGTCATTTATTGTATATCATACCAGAGCTAAACATATTGTTGATATATAATTACAGCCTGAACTTATCACAAGAAAAAGAAAGAGTTCTGAAGGAGGACAAGATCAAGCCAAGAAATTACGAAATGAAGAAGAAGAAAGTATAGAAATAGATGATACACAACTTACCCAGCTACAAAATGTATGTAATAATTTTACACTCAGTCTTGCAAACTCATCACATTTCAGTAGTTCACTTTCTTGACAATTATAACAATGTTCTCAGCTCAATATTAAAGATAGCAAGTTGAGATTTGAGGCTTTAGAAAGTTCCACAGTCATCAGGAACTTAGATTTGATATGATTACATACTAAACAGCTGTGCTGACAACTAGTAAGCCTGGGGGCTCCAGGCTGTATACGCTAAGACAGTTGGAAATGGCACACTTCATGGTGTTGAATGTCTTTGTGCCCAATTAGGTGTCGAAAAGTTAGATCTGCAACTTAGATGAGAAGCTTTCAACTTGTGTTTGTCTCTCTCTTCTTTTAGTGAGAGAATTGTATTTAATGCGTTTTTGTGTGATAGTTCAACAGGATAACCTGTACATGAAAACCAGAAAACTACAAAACTTTATGTATAACCTCTCTATGGGACTTATTTTTTTCCAGAAGCACACAGAACGTTTGCCAAGTAATGACCTACCTGACCTCACAAGTCCTCAACCTCCAGTTCCAACAGCAGGTTTTCAACTCATGAAAAATTCTATTAAATTAAAATTAAACCGATAACATAAAACATTATCTCATTGTTTCATCATGTACATTATATCATTTTATCATCACTGTGTATATTCTGTATCATTTCAAATATTGTCATAATCAACATTTTCAAACAAACAAAAAATGGCAGTCTATTTTCTGTCAGATGTATCCTTTCATGATTTGTGTCTAATTAGACCCTATCAGTAGATTTTTTAATGAATTTATCTTCAACATTTAAGAATATTTTAAATAGAAAACAACTCTTCATAGCTTCTAACATTTATCTTTTACATTTGATATTGTGAAACAGATGAAGTCAAATAAAACACATGAGTATAGTTAGTTATGTAGGGCCTACTTTGTAGTAGATTCGAAATATTCTAATTTCTAAGTTATTTTGTTACCCTTCTGATGTGTTTAGTTCAAGGAAAATATGGATAATTTGACAAAGGGTCATTTTACAAAGCTTTTACATGTCGTATATAAAGTTTTTTTTTCAGATTGTGATGTTAACAATTTAAAAATAATCATCCCAAGACTACTTATATTTTGTAGTTAAGTATGCATTTTATCATTTCAGTATTTATGTGATTATTGACAATACTGTTCTTTACCATTTAGTTAGATATTATTAGAAAGTATTCGCATTCATTTTATGCATTTGACTACTGCAATGGTTTAAAAAATAATTATAGGGTATCATTAAATAAAAATAAACAAAAACCATGTAATTATGTAAATATTTGTGTTGTCATAATGATTTTCTCTCATTTTGTTAAACTGTTTCGTTACATAAATATTTTGTATAGATATGGTTATTAGTGCTAATTTTCATAAAAACTTGTTATAAGAGGCAACAAATCTTGGCAGCTGGAAAATACAGGAAATTCTAGGCCTAATTCTATATTTTGTCTGAGAAGCTGAACAAGTATATGACCAACTCAAATAAATTAGAACTGGAAAACAAACAGCTTGAAACGTACCAGTTCTAATGCAAAAATCATGAAGACTGTAGATGATATTTCTGCTAGTGCCATCTAATTGGAAATCATTGTTATGCTGTAAACACAATTTTATCACAGTTGTGTGAGTGATGAGAGCTTCCAGCATAAATTTAGAATTAGGCTTCGTATTTTCTTTATCTATTTCAATTTATGACCTCATTATTTCTAAGATTACGTTAAGGCATATACCAATACTTCAAAAACTCAATCCTGTATAAATGGATTCATATTTCAAAAGACAATTGTTGTTTAAAAAGTCTAACTTTAATGGAACAATCAGACAGTTATCATCTTAGAAAAAGTATTTGTCTGAATCAATCAATTAAATTCAATATTGATGCTCCAAATGCTCATGAAAATTCACAATTGTTTAACTTTTAACTATGTTTTTTGAATGAAAGAAAATAAAATAAAAAAGTTGTTTTGTTAATGTTTAGTAATGATTGGGTTGTAAATATTAATTAATTATGAAACTAATAAATAAATGACAAACAGGTCCTTGTTTATCATAAGTGATTTACCTATCTTTTCTAGGAGCCATTGTGTTTCAGACAGCTGCTTTGCTTATATGGTTAGGTTAGGAGATTGACTTTAGTATACGTCGCCATCCTAAGAAACTAAGTTGGAAAATCTGAGACCCAAGACAAATTGCTGTAGATTAAGGTACAAGAGTGACTTTACAATAGTGATTATTTTGTTTGTTTTTTCATAAAAGGAAACCTGTGATATCATACATATACAACTTTCCTGCTTCAATTGTAAGATGTATATCTATTTATGCATATAACATTAAACTAAGATATTATTTTTTATACACAAGATACAGTAAAGAGAACCAGAAATAATGCTGAATATGATATGTGGCAAGTCCAATGATTATGTACCATCACCCGTCACTACACTAAAATCACTTTGCTTGTAAAAATATAACATTTTAATCTTCAGTTACTGTTAAATCACAACTTATATAGGGTAATATATCTTCCTCCATTTCACTCTTTATAAATGTTATTAAATTATCTACTGGTAACATGGCAACTAAAAACTCTTTACTCTTCTCTTCTAGATTCTCTAAAAATATATCTGACTTCACTTTATAGTTGGAATGTGAACTGAAAAAACAAAAATATTTGATGTGTATCGGGAATTATTGAATTCTCTGGTTAACACCATGCTCTTTCCGAGTTTGGTTTCTGGATTTGCTTTACTTTGCTAAATATCCCTGAATCTGCCAATATTAATACACTTAAAAATCACTACCTTTCATTTTGTTTAATTTCTTGTATACTAATCATCACACTAATTCCTTTATATAATATATTAAACTTTAATTCTGGCTTATTATATTTTATATAATCTATTGTACAGTCACCATCTGAAAAGAAAACACTTACAATTCGTTTATTCATAAAATCATTATGTCATTGAGCCCTTTGACTCCTTTTGCTTTCAGTTCAAAATATAAAATGAAGGTATACAAACATTACAAATTTCCTGCTTCTACCGTCATGCAGTGTGTCAAGTTTGATTGGCAAGTAATTCCATGCATTGGTTGTAACAAATGCGGTTTATCGTCTCAATTGACACTATTTCATTTGTTTTGCTCTTCCTACATGTATAACTGACAGTGAAACTGTATTAGGCATCAAGAGGCATTATTTTGATCAAGAATACTACCCCTAATTTAGCTCAGTTTAATCTTGCTGATGTATTACGTATGGATAAAGATTGCTCCCACCTGGTTTTAAACATTCTAACTCTTTATACCAATCTGATAAATGACTAGACCTATCACTAACTTTATCATCACCTATAAATACAAAATATTTCATAGAACTGACAAATCAAGAAATATTTTTTTAACTGAGTCTACACTACAAAAACAGCATTGCCACAAGATTTTAAAAGATTCATCTAATATTGAAATGCTCCTGTTCATTTATAAATATTGAAATAAAAAAGGTTTCTACTATCTGAAAATACAAGAGTTATTTTTTCTATAATAATGAAAAGAATATAACTTACTAGTTTGAAAAGACTTAAGTATATCTTTTACTTCCTTTTCTATTTCCACAATTTTTAACTTTTCATCAAGTTCTAATGACTTTAATTCTAAATTATGAATATCATTTACTAACTGAAAAATTTCTCTGAAAAAAATGAATAAAATGTGCTTGAGCTTATGTCATGCACATTATATAACCTACTAACAGAATCATTTTGACTTTGATAATTCTTTGACCTTTGTCACAGCCAGGCTGTTAATCATTTTCAATATCTCAGAAAGCATTCAATCCTGTTATTTATATTTATTATCAATATTTGGTAATGGCATCATACCTATTTTCTAAAGAATCTATTACTGATTTCTTTATAAAAAATTCTTCTATGGATAGAATAGGACCAATTTTCTTTAACACAAGTTCTTTTCTCTCATTTAGCAAACTCTTTTTTTCTTGGAGCTCTTGTAATTTCATGCGACACTGAAACAAATAAATTGAACCATAGATCTTGATGTTTAAGCAAGGAGAAAAGGACCAGTGGGATGAATTTTGATATAAGGACAAAGAAGCAAGTTGTTGTCAAGTTTCAGCAAGATGACAAGCATGTATAATCAAGTGTCCTCAGACACTTTTTGACTAGGCCTACATTGAATATCAAATCTCATTTCTTTTACAAAAAAATTATGTAATTTGAAACATCAAATTTAATAGGGAATTTGTCAATTTCGTGGACTTCTTTCAAAATAAAAAATGTGATAGTCATGCCCCCATATGGTCAAGTAATAGGACAGTTATATCGCATAACACATACAGAGCCAAGTTTATCCGTCCAGGTAAATATGTCTTCGTGGATATTCTGTTCAAGATTTTGTCCAGACATAACAGCCAACTTAGTTACATATTAAAGTAACTGTACGCTAACTTTAAAAAAGTTAAAATTTCAACAACGAACGAAGATATTTCGCTAATCTCCCTTTTTTAAGTAGCTTTGGTTTTCCAGATAACGTAGAAATCTCATCAAATCTGAAAAATTGAAATAATATTTACTATAAATCAAAAGTCATTGTGCCTAAAATTGTTTGTGTTAGTACCTTTTTCCTTCATAAACAATTATGAAAGTGATCCATATCTGAAAATACAGGAATGGGGCTACTTCATTCGGACTGGAAGTTGGTCAGATCAAGAAAGATTTCCTGTATAGTGTCTTGATAACCAAGTCTTGTTTTGAAGGAAAGCATGGCCAAGACGAAAAAGCACTCTAAATCTTCGAACAGTAAACTCAGCCTGAAATCTATTATAGATCTTGGCGGAACTGAGGTAATTGAGAAGGTGTCTATTAGTGTGAAAAAAAATAAGTGAAAACTAATGAGCAATGCTGAGAAATGTTTTATTTTTTAGACCCCTACTCTGTTTCCAGCCATCATCATTGAAGGAATGAATGTCTCTCAAACTCAAAGCAAAGAAAGATTTGGGTTTGAAGCAAGAAAGTTTTGAAAATTAGAGTTGATCTTGCATCTCTGAGACCCTTTTGTTGGACAGCATTCTTGATGACGACACATGACGCTTAGGCCTACGCTTAGCCAGTTTTGGACTATCATCATGATAATCATAATGGTATCAAGAAAATTATTCTAATTAATCAGCACTATACAAATCAAGTAACCTAATTTCGTGGAAACCTATTATTCGTGGATTTCCGGAAAGGATTAATAATTTACATGAGCGACCTTGCGCGACCTCCGCATTAGTTTGTTTTGATAAACATGGGTTTTCTCTACAATATCAGCTAGTAGAATGAATCCAGTAGTTTCAAGCAAGGTAAAATGTATTAATGTATACTTTGACAAATACAAAATGGCGGATTTCAGTTATTACCAAACGTCACCATTTTTATCGGCCGAATTTCCTTATAATCCCAAGCGGTAATCAGAATTCCAACTGTCGTCTACCAGAATGTAGTCCAACGAATGAAGTCACATGATCAACTAGTGGATTCTGTGTCAGCAGAAAATTTCTATGGAACACAAAGTGGACCATATTCTTATGTTGTTTCAGTGACTTTTAGCAATAAATCACGCTACGTATCATATTTTGTCAGTCACTATTTTTTTTTAAATCGTGGTTCTTTGAAGGAATTGTCACTAGTTATAATGAATTGATATTAAAGATAAATACTAAGAGAAGTTAATTATACCACCTGGTATCCATACAATGTGTTTTTATAGACTTATTTATAGATCAAACATTGTACACGAAAATAGGTGACGCATTCTGCCGCCGTTGCTGAGTTGGTTGCTCATGAAATATGGGTCAAAGTGAAGGATTCATAAAGCAAATCGAAATAAACCAATTTGAATTATTTTGTAGAATATCTGAGGGAGCATCTAAGACATAAAAAAAACTTTTCTTTTTTTTTATCTTTGACGAAATTAGGTGTTGAATCCTTATATCCACGAAAATAGGTTACACCACTGTAAATATCAAAATAATTAAATAATTTCTGTTTTTGTGCACTGGTGTTACCACCTAAAGGATGAGATTTTGGAACTGATTGTCAAACCATTTATGGCACAAAATAAATTGGTTTAAGGGAGAATTATAACAAACATTGATTTCTAAAGTCCCAGCCCTTTATATCATTATATGGCAAATTATTTTTTCTGTGTTATGTATAGGCTGATTTGAAGATGTTAGAAGGCATAGATTCTGATGTAGAAGATCTCCAATCTATTAAAAGCGATGGAAGTGATTCAGGGAAAGATGTAAGTTGATTATACTGTTATCAATGGTGAACTGCTATAGTTACATTATTATGGCTTGAAATTAATATTTTTTAGTTTATAACATATATCTTGAAATCTCTAGTCATTTAACCATGTTAAATGGACAGATGCAAAAGAGCTGTTTTACATGTACTTGCAGATATTATCAGAAAAAAGTGACTCACCTTTGTATTGAATTTCAAAAGATTTTTAGTTTTGAAAAGTAACATGATAACTGAAATTTAACTATATGATGATATCCCTAAAATTTAATTCTTTTTTTTAAGATAAAAGACTTCATTCAAAAATTAGGATTTGGAAACTTTAAGAAAAACGCTAGTTATACTGAAGCTGATGATGAGAATTCAGATGATGACAATCTTCAATCAAAGAAAGAGAAAAAGAAAAGTAAGAAGAATTCTAAAACTCTGCATGAAAAGCCAGAGCTGAATCCAAATAAAAAGGAAGTAAAAATTACAAAAGCTTCCAACATGCCTGAAAAAAGTGTGAAAAATAAGCCTGCAAAAAAGACTGTTGGTAATTCATTGAATCAATCTACCACACCAACAGTACATGAGGTAAAGAGTGAAGATTATAGTACAGGAAGTAAGAAGAAGAATAAAAATAAATTTAAAGTACAACATAGTGAAGTATCATCTAGTACCAGTAGTCCCGAAGAAGCTATTAGAAATCATATAGCCAGTTATAAAGTTAGAAAACATGTTGTTGTTAAACCTGATGACAATATACAGTCTATAATGAAGGTAATATTTTATTATATTGAAGCTAGGCCCTTCTAATTTTATATATTATATACTGATAATTGTGAATGTTCTGGTGTGGATCTTGTATCAAAAACGTGTTGTCAGTTTATACATCATCTTATGCATGAATAATTCATTTAAATGGCCAATAAACAACCATACATGTATGTGAAGTAAGAACTTTCTGATCTTCAATTAAAGTCCAATATTGGTTACTGAAAAAAAGTGTCAATTATATTTGTAACGTTTGATTTAATTTTAGAATTCAAAGCTAGAGCATACCAAATCATTACCATCAGATGTAATTAGGGAAATGGAAAATTTTGCTGCTAAACTATTGGAAGATGAAGTAGCTACATTTAAGAGAAGTAAGTTTTATATTTTAGGAAATGACATTTTCTGTCGTGATATTTTGTTTAAAACAATCCAGTATCTTTATGAAGTTGCAATTAATACTAGATGTGAAAATGTACTACATTTTAATGTTCAACACTCTGGGTCTAGCTCTTCCATAATTAGTAACAAGCAACTCTCTTATCTAGTTGATTTCTTGAAATCTGATCGGTCAATTTTATCACTGCAATAGCATCAACCAACCAATGTTTGTAGTAGTAGGAGATTTGAAGTAACAACCCTGGAAGAAGAGAATATCTTCGTTCAAACTAATAATTCATTTTTTTTTTTTGACAGAAAAAGATGCATCAAAGAGTTCTGAAGCTAGATGGATACAAACTGTGTTAAAGTCTGGTACACTCAGTGATAAAATGGCTGCCCTAACATTGTTAATACAAGAATCACCAATACATAATTTGAATTCATTAGAATCATTAGTAAATATGGCAAGGAAGAAAGGGAAAAGAGAGTGTATCTTAGCCACAGGTATACATGTCATTTCATATTTGATATTTTTTGAAAATTCTCATTTACATTTACATGAAGTATTTTGATTTATGATTGAATATTATTCTTATTGTTTGATTTCAGAAACATTAAGTGAATTGTTTTTAACTGAAATACTGCCATCTAACAGAAAGTTAGTCAAGTTTTCTAAAGTAAGTACCATGTATATCAATAATATTAGCATATTTAAACTAGACTGATTATGAGAAAATATGTGAAAATAATTACATAAACTAGTGGTAAATATTGAATAATTCTGTTTTAGAATCCAGCATTAATATCAGTAGTAGAGAATATGCCTGGTGAGAAAGATATGGTAGATAAAAAATTGATATTATGGTTTTATGAATCCCAATTAAAAGATATATATTCTAGTTTCCTCAAAGCATTAGATGTATGTATTTAATTATGAAGTTTTTTTTTATAATATATTAATATAAATATATTAGAAATACATATATATCCAAGGAATGTATCAATTGTTTTTTACAACATCTTAGCTGCTTAAGCTTTGAGGGGAATTTCAGAAAAAATTGATGGAATTTGAAATGTTAATGGTTGTTTACTCTTTTAATGGAAACTTATGCATTGATATGGTTGGTGTATTTTGAAATACAAAATGAATAGTGACTTCTGTTTAAATTTACCATTCTTTTGACAATGCAGTATTTCTTGTTTTTATTGTAGACAATGTCACATGATACAGTCTTGTCACCTAAACAGAAAGCAGTCAGTAAGTTATGTCATATTATTTGTTTAAATTGCTCATAATTTAAAATGCTTTATCTATTCCAACCTAGATTTAATATGCTTCTTTTAATTGTGATTTATATTTCAGCTTCAATATTTAAGTTATTAACTCACAAACCAGAACAAGAAAATGTAAGTACCAATTCCTCTCAATTTAGTATATTTGAAGACACTTTACATACAAAGACAATGTATTTTGGTACTTTTGCAATAATGTCCAAAAGTTAAGATGTTTATTTTTTGTTTTATTCTCATGAGCAGGGCTGGTTTGATAGGTGAGCAGGGGCACTACTGAATTCATTTGATGTTAAACGTCTAATGATAACAAATCTTAATTGAATTTTCTAGGTATTGTTACCACTTCTCGTAAATAAGTTAGGTGATCCTGATTACAAATTAGCTTCTAGAGTTTCTCATCACTTGACTAAACTAGGTAAGTTATCATCTCACAAAATTTGTCATATTAAAAAAAGATCCTTTTATTTGTAATGCAAAATTGTTAGTTTTACCTAAATAAATTTGTTTATATTGCAGTTGAAGAACATAGTCAAATGACAATGGTTGTACTACAAGAAGTAGAAAGATTACTGTATAGACCAAATATTAGTACTAAGGCTCAGTAAGTATTCAATTTAAATATCATTGTTAATTGTAGCTGATAGTAGAGAATGTAAGTAAACTTTAACAACCATTGTCTGAAATATAAATAATATGAAGCTAATTTCTATATTTCAGATACTATGCAATGTGTTTTTTAAGCCAAATAGTATTATATATTGATGATAAAGAATTAGCTAAGAAACTGATTGACTTATACTTTTCTTTTTTTACTGTAAGTATTTTAGATGAACTTTTCAGAGGTAATTCAGTTTATGTTATGAATTATTTCACCTCAGGTTGTGCTATGTTTGAAGCAACGTCGATATGAAACATAAACTATCAATCTGTCTTGAAAAAAAATGGTGTGAAAAATAATGTGATTTGCCGAGCATTTCAAATTGTGTGTATATTTGGGTATAAAGGGCTTAAACTCTTTGTGCTCAGTGCCATATTACTAATTCTGTACCAAGTATGGACCATGTATGGTTCAGCAATGTAAGCATGTTGTGTGGGCTTGGCATCAAGCTATTTTCAAGTGGACTAAGTGGAAGAGGTAGTCTTGGTGTAAACCTCATACAGAGCAGTAAAATATCCGGATACTCGCCAATAAATTATGAATATTGTTATTCTACCTGTAGATGTATGTAAAGAAAGGTGAAGTAGATAATAAAATGATGAGTGTTTTATTAACTGGTGTTAACAGAGCTTATCCTTATGCTAAAGGTAATAATAATGTTCTTTATTGTCTTATACTCAAATTATCCTTTTTGTGAATGGATTGTATATCTAACATGTACTAACAGCAGAGTATGGGCTTCTTGAGGATGAAGTATAAGCATAGAAATATCTATATATTTTAGTTGGTAATGCCTGTTCTCCAGTGGGCTGTCGAAATGGAGATCAAAATAGCTCACTAGTTGGTGCTGAGGTTGAATTTAAAGATATAATACAAATTTTGATAGATTATAATAACATGATATTGTTCTACCTTAAACAACTTTAGATGATTAAGCTATAGAATTATTAAGCATTACATGTTTATTAAATGTAACTTGTGTTTTGTAGTTGATGAAAAGTACATAACTGACCAAATGAATAATCTACATAAAGTTGTACATATTGTTAATTTTAATACTGGTTTACAAGCGCTAATGTTATTGTATCAAATTATGGATGCTTCGTAAGTTTTGACTTTTATTTTATATGACATTACTACATGGTTATACAACTCAATGTATTTGAGCTTTGACTACTGTGTATATCTGATTATTTTATTAACAACTTGTTTGTTAGCTCGCAGGAATTGCCTTTCATAATTGTTTGTTGCCTTTTAAGTATTATTGAAATTAGAGATGAATATACTAGTGTGTTGTCATGTCACATGACAGTTTGAAATCTGAAATAAGAAGGCCAATGACCTCCCTCAAATTTTGTCAACACCATTTGCAGGGTGCTCTTTGCCCTCAGTGGTTTAAGAAAAGTAGGATGTTAGATTTTATTCCATTTCAATAAGTGAAGAAGACCAGTTCAAAATATAAGTATGTGATATATTTTATATTTTTTCAGTGAAAGTATATCAGATAGGTTTTATGTAGCCCTATATCGTAAACTAGCAGACCCAGCATTAAAAACCTCCTCTAAACAAACTATGTTTTTAAATTTACTGTATAAAGCAATGAGAAGTGATGTCGCTGACAAGAGAATCAAGGTAAAACCTGAATGAAGGCTTGATCAGATATCATGATTTCTTAGTCAAAACTGACAAGGATTGAAAATATCAAATGAATACGAATAATTGTAATCTTGTAATTTATCGTACTTTATTTTTAATTTCATTCAGTTTTCTTATTGTTCCATGAAAATTCGCTTTTGGATTTGAGAAAAAGAACTTAGACAGTTCATACAAATTGTTAATTAAAGATAACTTTATTTGAAATATATTTCTGTAGGCATTTGTTAAGAGATTATTACAAGTATGTTCCTATCAGTCAGCCCAGTTTGTATGTGGTGCTCTAATCTTGGTGTCAGAAATATTACACGAAAAACCTGGTTTACTCAATTTAAATTGTACTGCTGAGGTAATTATATTATTAATAGTTGGTTCCCCATGTGCATCATAATGAAAACCTGATATGATGAGATTATGGACTGTTTTGACAATTCCATCCTTGTTTGAGATGAATTTCAGAACTTTGGAAAAGGACCTTGGATTTATATATTCTAAACTTTCACGATTACAAACTGATACTGGATTTTGTGCATTTGAATTTGAATATTAGTTTCAAAAAAGCAATGATTGTCATTACATTGATAAATACAGACAAAGACACCTATTATTTTTTGGGACATATCCAGACAGCATTATTGCAATTTACAAAAAATTGAAGTCATTTTAGCTACAGAATTATGAAGATTTCAGTCTGCATACATTTTATACTTGTCATGTTTTTATATTACATTATTATTCTATATCAAATATTATTTCACCTCTATCAGGATTCTGATGATGATGAACATTATGAAGATTTACCTGAACCAGAAGAATTTAAGACAACACATTACCATAGTGAAAGTGAAGCAGCTATGTCTGAAGGTGAAATAGATCTTGGTGATCAACAATCTTCTTGGCTCCATAGAAAAAATCTTAACAGTAAGTATACTTCTTTATTGGTAGTATATAAACTAATGACTTACAGGACATTTCAAGATAACATTAAAACATCATGGAGTCTTTATTCTAAAAATGTAAAAATAACTGATATAGGTGTTGATAGTTAAATAATTCCTACGTTTTTTTTATTATTTTCAGCTCAAACTGATAAAACAACTTACGATCCATTTTACCGTAATCCACTATATTGTCGTGCTGATACTGCTTGTATATGGGAATTACAAAAATTAACATCTCACTTTCATCCTTCAGTGGTAGTGTTTGCCAATAATATACTTAAGGTTTGAATTTTCACTACTTTTGTGAAACAATTATATATATGAATTATATTTAAACATGACGTCAATTTCAGCAGGCCTTTTAATAAGACACATTGCTAATCAATATTTTGAAGTGATTACATAATATCCCTTCAACTTTTGAAAACTGCACACTGCCTAGTGTTAGACCATATTTATTTCATGGATTAAGAGTCATAGAAATATCACTTTATATATGTGTCCTGTCTTATTTACAATGTTTATTTCTATTCTACAGGGTGCTAAAATAAAATATAGTGGTGATCCTTTACAAGATTTTACACTTATCCGTTTTCTAGAAAGATTTGTTTATAAAAATCCCAAGAAAGTTGATGAAAAAGGTACATCCTTGATACATTTCTTACTAATTTCTTGAAATAAGATGTTGTTGGCAAAAGAAATTTTGAAATGGACAAAGCCATTTTCTTTCTGTCATATAATTAAGAATCATGGAAATTTGATTAATGATATTTTTAGAAACACCTATCATGCAGTGATTGGTATAGTAATGCAAGTTTCAATTATACTATATTTTTCAATATTTTATTTTTCATTCATCCTTTTGTCTTTTAACAATATATGTATGTGTGCTTTTATTTCGATAATGATTATTTCTTAGATATAGAAGATTCCTCTAAATCAGTGAGTAGATTCCGTTTAAAGCCCTCACTACCATCTGGTGTACGAAAATTACGTGTTAATGAAGCTGCCTATATTGCTAAAGATGAAAAGAAAATTCCTGCTGATGAAAAGTTTTTTCATAGGTAAGATGCTTTTATTGATAGAATAGTAGGTCTATACATGCTTCCATTTGTTATCTGTGGTTTTGTTACTATTTTTATATTTTTAATCCATGAGTTCTCTGTGTTTTTGGTATCAATTTTCATCTCTGTTCATCTCTGATTTTGGTACCAATATTCATCTCTGATTTTAGTACCAATTTTCATCTCTGATTTTAGTACCAATTTTCATCTCTGATTTTAGTACCAATTTTCATCTCTGATTTTAGTACCAATTTTCATCTCTGATTTTAGTACCAATTTTCATCCATGAGTTAGTTCTCTGTGTTTTTGGTATCCATTTTCATCCATGAGTTAGTTCTCTGTGTTTTTGGTATCCATTTTCATCCATGAGTTCTCTGTGTTTTTGCTATCAATTATTCTTCATGAGTCCTCTGTGCTTTTGGTATCCATTTTCATCCATTAGTTCTCTATGGTTTTGGTATAAATTTTCATCCATGAGCTTTTTGTGGTTTTGCTATCAATTTTCATCCATTTCTCTGTGGTATTAATTTTCATTCATCTCATATATCATGATGGTCCAATAACTTGTATCCCTTAAATTTTAGATATTTCCAACAGCAAGTAAAATTAGGTAAAAAATTGAAGAAAGGTGATGAAGATGTAGAAGATGTTAGTGATGATGAGTTCGAAGCATTTTTAGGTACATTGTTTTATTTAGAAATCTACAAATCAGGGTGCCCTTGTCCTCTTTCCATTCTTTTGATTCTGATTGCAAAACTTTTACTGATCAGAATTTGATTCATTCTTTCAGATAACTTCGAAAAACAAGCTGATCCTAAAGATGTGTTTATGAAGAAAGATCTGGATTTAGATTTTGCAGGGTAAGGAATGAATACTAAACAATTCATAGTACTGGACACATCTTGCATCTTGCAACATTATAATGTCTTTACACAGTAACCTAGTATTCCTTTTCCTTTAATTTCTTACAGAGAATTTAGCAAGAAGAACAAAAAGAAGAAGCAGCAGGATGATAACAGTAGTGATGATGATTTGGATGATGATGATGAAGATTTATCTGATGAAGAACCAGAATTTGATGAAGATGAGATGAAATCAGCTTTTAAAGAATTTAATGCTAATGGTGATGATGTAGATTTTGATGAGGAAGATGTTGCCTTCTCAGATTCTGATGGTAAGAATGTAATAAGATAAGGTCAGATTGTTTAAATATCTTATAGATTGTTATTTAACTGCAGTGAGTGACCTCTAACCTGACTGAACATGACTAACAGCAATCAGTTTTAATTGGGAAACTTAGCAATTAAATCCTTCTCTAAAACCATAGTAAAGCTGATCATGTTCAATAAATTTTTCAGATGACAAAAGCTCAAGTAAGAAAAGAAAAGCAAAAGTAGATGATGACGTCTTAGATAAAGATTTCCTTTCATCAGGAAGAAAGAAAAAGAAGAGGTAACAAAATGAATCTTCCAAATAAAGCAACAGGCAAATAAAGATACATATTTGAGGATGTTCAGCATAGATACTGATAAAATGCATCAAACATTAAAACTTTCAAATGTTCACGTCTATTCATGCATGATTCAGTACCTCTATCATGAAAATATTAATTTATGTTAATTAAACAGTAAAGAAGTAGCAGATCTATATGCAGCAGCAGATGAATTCTCCAGTATAATAGATAGTAATATGGATAATGTTGATATAGAAACACTTGGTTCTCAAGCTTTATCTAACACAGCTAATAGTGGTAAGCATAATCTTTATCAGGTGTAACTTTAAATTGAATTGATGATTTACTGCATAAATACCTCTGTGAACAGAGGGTTTAAAGATTTATTCAGATATATATATGTTGGATTATTCGACGACTAGTACTTATATCAAGGGAAAGTAGAGGTATTCTAATGATAAGGAAAATACGAGTTTGTCTCTGTACAGACATATATCATATCATTTAAATTTAGCTTGACCAAGCAAATTTTTCTCTGAACCTTTCTACGTTCACATTAAATGATAATTTATTATCACCAATAGTCAAATAGATTGGTTAATTTCACTCTTCAAAAGCCAAAAAACCATCTTTAATTAGTATTAAGATAAGAAGATAACTGTGAGATATTGTGCTGTGATGAAGATAATATATAACTAAAGATTATAATATTCTAACTCAACTCTTTATTAACTTCATTATCTGTTATACTGCTAGAGGATATTTTTATATTCCAAGTGATAACAACCTTACATGTTTATTGTATTTCCTATAATTCTTCATTCTATTTCATTTCTATTTCAGATGTGAAGCAATTGAGATGGGAAATTAAACGAGATAAATGGATTCACGATAAAGATTGGAAATCAAAGAAAAGGCAAATGAAAGAAAAAGGGGGAAGGAAGAATTATGCCTCTAAACCAAAGTCAAGTGGAACATTTAAAAAAGAAAGTGGAAAGATGAAACATAAAAGGAAATAAAAACCATCCTTTCATCATGATTGTAAATTACCTTATTAAATTGAACATCAAATTGTCAGTGTGAATTGCACTGTTTTATTTCATGTGTAACATGGATTCCATTGCAAAAAAGGAAAGTTCATGCATTCATTCAAATCAACTTAATCAAGTAAAAACTATATCTATCTGATTGCCAGAGGGCCTGTATGAAATATTTCCACTTAGTAAATTTGCTAACTATGGAACTGCTTACAGGGATGGCTAGGTCCTTGAATTTCATAAATAATTTCTAGGTAAAGCTAAACATCTATGGTTTCTATCGTGAAAAGAGACTCTTTTTAGACTAGAGTCAATCTTAGGAATCGAGATTCAATCAATCTGGAAATCAGGAGTCAGTCAATCTGGTGAATAGAGGGTTGGTCAATCTGAGTAATCAAGAGGTCAATCTCAGCAATTGCGACTTAGTGAATCTGAGGAATCAGGAGCGGGTCAAACAGGAATCTGAGGAATAGAGAGTCATTCAATCTGAGGAAACTGGAGTCAACCAATCTGAGGAAACGGGGCCAGTCTAAAAAGACTATCCCTGAAAACAAAAAAGCTCATGTAAGAGTGGTTTCAGAATAAATACCGAAAAACTTTTCGATATTCATCAAAAATAATACCAGTAAATGAGTGTTAGCTACATACATTCCCTTTTGCTTAAACGTACTTTCATCCTTTGGCTTTTGCAGTAGATTTCCACGGTAGCGTTGCTACCATATACAACAAATCATTGGCAATTAAGAGCGTTTTGAACATTTCCGTATAAAACTTCATAATGATATTGATATTGCTCATTTTATGGTGACATTGCATTGGAATAATTTGGACACCATTATCTGAAACCTGCATAAAGGATGATTAGTTTAGACTGTATTTTTTCTTAATAATTAATAGGCCTAATAATAACTCCATAGTGATGTAGGATATCTGACTATCCTTATTATATTGAAGACGTGATTATTAGCCATTTAAATTACAAGTACAGATGAAAGATGTAGGCTTGTTTGCGCGGGAAAACATGAAAAATCGATATCCTTCCTTGTTAGATTTGAACAACAGGCGGTCAATTTGGTGTATTCTGACTACATTTTAATTGTCACTTAAAAATAATCAATTCCATTAGCAGAAATGACGAACATTTCTTTAATGGGTGAATCTTCTATAATTCATACTATTTTCATAATACTTTTCCATGGCTAATAGATTCTTGATGTGGGGGGGGCTTGTTTTCTTCTTGTAAAGCATTTTAATTGAATTCGGAAACATTTAAGTCTTGTCTGATAGCATGTAGGGCCTATTGCTGTGACAAAACAGCAGTCATCTACATCAGATATTAAAGCCTTCTGTGCCCAAATTTTTAAAGACGCCATTCATATCATTTAATCTTCTTAAATTACCAATACGCGACTCATTTTTTAGCTTGAATTAGTGATGGTATTGTCAGAATCAACCACGCTTTTATAATCCTATATAATGAAAATGTATACTTATATTGACCCTGTCTATCCGTCAAAAATATATATCTTTAGTAAAATATTAGTTTTGTTGGCTCGATTGAAGCTCAAATTATATGGATAAAATTTAGTATACGTTACAGTTTTGATCGGAATTTGAAAAAAAACTTGGTATGCTTCTGTATGTTGATAAGACTGCGAATAATGAGAATTTGTACTCGATTTTTAATCGCGAGATTTGATGAACCTTTTTCGAGTTATTGCCCTTGACTAATGTTTAAAGAAAGCCACAGAGAACGCGTCCACTAATGTGTTTTTTCTGCAAGTTACTTTTGAGAGATCTGTCAGTGGCCTCTCCATTTGAGAGTACATTTTATTGAGAGTTACTCTCAGATCGTACGATCTACGAACGCGAGAAGCTTTCGAGTTCCTTTCCACATGAGAGACAAATTACATTCGCGAGCTGTTCGCGGGTATGGGATGCTAGTTGCAACTCATATCGCCAGTTTGTTTGCAACACAAAAATTTTGTAGGTCTGAGTTTGGAGCCATGATTAAGTGAAGAGAGACTTTGGGAACTTTTCGTTCCTTGATGAATATGATCAATATATCTACCTAAAGTTCAGCTAAAATCCGTTAAGGTTTGTGTCTTCTGTTACAGAAGGAAATGCGCTATATACACATTTAATATAGTCGACGTCTGCAAAAGTGTCCTAACGGGAAAAAACCTGCTAGTTTTTGCAGACATAGAACACTGTTCTATTCCTTGAGAGCACTCTCGAACAGAAATTTGCTTTTTGAGCAGACCCCTGTCCAATAGACAGAAAACCGCCCTCGGCAGTTCTATCGACAGTTGGATTTTGATACGTGACATTATATAGCAGGCCCCCTTCCACTTAAGGAATAGTCGCTCTCGACAGGTCTATTGAGAGTTGGTTGCGACTGTCTATCAGTTGCTTTACTAAAAGTACCAGCACCTTGGAGTTATTCTCGGAGAGCGACTTTAACTTAAATATTTACATCTCGCTTCAGCTTGATTAACACGGATTTTTGTAAGCGATTTTCGAGTTATTACCCTTGAATTGGCTAACAATCATCACCCCCATTAGTCATACTACCTCTTACTTAATAAGCCTATGTAAAAACCCGTATTCGTGATACGGTGGGCCAAAATATGCCAAAATTGAACGTGAAAGGTGATTTTGATGTTGGTTTCTTTCTGTGTTTTCTTTTTTATTATTTTTGGACAAAACCTTTTATTCTACTTTTTCTAATGATTTCCACCCAGAATAATAACAATGTTTTCAATATTTTGTCTTGTTGATGTGACTACCGTCCGCCCATTGATTTTGTTGGGCAGGTGGATGTTAAAAATCTAATGCGACAGAAAAACATTAATCAGTGAATTCCATAATAAATAATGACTTGGCTCTCATAATTAATACCTTAATCAGAACATTGGCAGAATTCATTTAGTGTAGGATTTCGCAACATATAAAGTCTGTGTTTCTTTGATTACATTTTACGAATAAACCAAGTTAATTAAATTTGGGATTTTCCATGCATAGAGGTCGAATATAACGACCTTAAAGGGATTGTAAAGAGGTTTTCTAAACCATTTCTGTCTGTTGGGGGCACTCCAATTTTCACTCAGAAGTCTGTTGTATTTCACTAAAACTAAACGTTTAAAAAAAATGCAAGTCATTGTCATAAAACGCCTAGTTTTAGTGATTAGGGAGGTTGAAAGAGTACTATCCAACAGAAGGCACTGGCACAAGGTTAAAGCAATGTTCATGAATGTTAAGGTTAATATGTTAAAATGGAAATTCGTACTCGTAGCCCAAAAACCTATGATACTTTAATTCTTGCACTGAAGTTATCATTTGATGTGAAATACAAGAACCACAGACTTACGACTAAAAATTGAACTGGTGCAAATCGATGCTATCAGTGTCAGAAAAAAATCTCATTACAATCCCTTTGGCGGTCTTTTAAGATTCTTATATTGTCTGATTGTCTGATACCATTTTCAAGTGGAATATTATGTCTCATTGATTGTTTTGTTTTTCACTGTCTTCTAATCTAATCTTTTTCTACTTAATTTTTTAAACCATTTTAGACAACTTGTTTGATGTCTCCACAATAGGATTGGTTTCAGATCTAAAGATTGCAGAAAAGCGATGGAGGCGTTTTGTAATGTTTCGTTTAAGCTTAGCTTCTTATGAATAATTTCAGATTTCCATGTGTCCGCTTTTAGCAAAATTTGATCAAAGACCATCAAAGAATTCATAGATAAGAGGCTAAAATAATTGAAACTGATCAAAATGTAGTGGCATACTATCCTTTGATATATCTTATAGTCTGGCCAATTTCTTGTCTTAAGAACATCTGCTACGTAATCTTCAATTATTTCTAGATGTCTTTGGCTGACCAATTTCGAGATTAGACCTAACAGTGATTATTTCTGAAGAAATCTAGGTCTGATTATTAGAGAGATAGACTCAGAAATAAGACCACAATTAAAGACTTAGTCAGAATTGAAATCTGTAATTAAGCAAACTTTAATTCATGATCATAGCCTAGCTAGACAACGTACAGATTTACTTAGTTTTAATAATCTTTATATAAAGGTCAGAATATCCTACTGATTCTAATGGCTATTGAATCGTCCACCATTATATTTCAGAGAACAAATTGGGCCAGCATGATACTAATAGAAGATGATTAGAAGAGCTAACAATCAGTCTGTATATTCTCTACACTTAATTTGTTATTTCTAAATGCCCTTTACAAAAATAATATGTCAAACTGACCGATTCCTTATTATTGTCGTATATCTTCATTGTTCTTGGAGCACAGAATTGGCACGCATAACCTTCAAAGATAAAATTTATCAAAGCAGTGAAGTTAAGCACAGCACGTTATTTGCAATATGGAATATTATACGATCTGACCTGCAATTGGAAGTAGTTTTTATCCGATATCAGCGGATTGAAGAGATTTCACCTTGGTTCATGGTTTTTTGCTGGTATGAAAAACAACTGCTGTCATGGATGTATTTTAATTTTCACCGCAAGTGCTCTATAACTACAGTATCACAAGGTTGTCATTACTAAATTGATGCAGATTTTAAGAGTAGGTTATATCGATTACTATGTTATAAGAACTAGATATAGGAATAAATAGGAAACAAGGTAATGTTATAAATTGAACATTTCTGTTGGACGCCATTAGACAATGAGATTTTCTCGTCATCAGACCTTGTTCTATAATAATACTATACTCCCACATCCATTATGGATCAAGAGCTAAAGCCTTATTGGCTCTATGATAGCAGAGTGGCCTTAGCATTCAGAGGGGCCCCATTCACTGCCTATTCTGTTAAGATATCCCAACAAACAAATTTGCTTTTGTGACTTTTGAGACAGAAAATGACAATATTTTACATGGATAACAACTTAGGCACGATGTTCGTTCATTTTATAGATATCCTCTCTGTATTCATCTGTACTTGAATCCAGCATACTTGTGAATAATATAGATAATACTATAAAGAAGGTGCTATCTATTGATGGTCAGGATT